CGATGTGGTCTTTAGGCGGCCCAGCTATGACAGGCCACTTGAACCGAGTCAATTCCTTTCGTGGTTTTCATACTATCTTCATGTTATCGCGTCGCAAAACTGTTGAAGTACATTCCCATTTAAGTGAGCGATGAACTGATTTAATAGTCATTTTCATCTTTATGTATTTTTTTCCATTAGTCATTTGAGTGATGACTGTTAAGATGGATGGTTTTTCTTGCGGTCGCTTACTCAGTCGGGTTGCTGACCATTGAGATAACATGCTGTACGTTGACAGAAAAAATAAACTGGTCAAAATCTCATATTCATGTTATTTTACATAGCAAACCAATATATAGTCGTGAGAAAAAAATAACTCTATTTTTACTTACTGCAAAAAAAGAGCTTTCTAATGAGATAAATGCTGAGAACTTAATGAAATGTAGCACAAAGCATGACTATCATATTTTTATTTCAGTATTACATTATGATGAGGACTCGACCTTTGAGTAGTTTGTCAAATACACAAGGAATATCAAATTGCGGTTTCGTGTATATCTCGTTGCCCTTTGTAATTTAGACAAATTTTAAAATCTTACAAGTTGATTATGAATTTGTGTTGTGATTGCTAAAATGCGAAAAAACACAATTGCCATTTCGCTTTTGGTTCTTCTCTATGTCTCGAAGTCAACGAATGACATTCATTTATATTTCCCAGGGGAATGAAATTTCCTTAGCAAAAAGACTTTGAAAATAAAATATTTAGCTTCGATCTTTATCTCTTCATGATAATTATGAAAGGCACATGGTAATGTCATTTGTTTTCATCCAACTTATTAACGATAGGAAAATATTTTTAAACACTTCGCTTATTATTCTTGCTAATCTTTATAGATATTTCAACATAATGAAGGAGCCTGCCAGTCGCCAAAGGGCGATTTGTATTGTCTCCGTGTCTTAAAACAACTTCTTTTAAGTTATCATCACTCTGTCCAAACGTATATTCACTAGTTAACCCCATTACCCCATAGCAAAACGGAGTTTCAATTAAAGATCATGACAGACTATTGTTTTCGCTTAATGATATCAAGATTTAACAAAATAAGATAAGGTAATGAGATAATCTCAGAGCTTCAACATAAAGTTTGATATGTTACATCAACGACCAGCTCGTTTCGCCTATCTCCATTTATTTAAACGTCTGTCATGGGCGATGATCAATGTGGTTATCTTAGTCAGTGGCGTGGCTGGCTTGCGGTTGCTTTGTAAATTTATTATTGACAATATTTCTCTCTTTAGAACTGGATTGTTATTAGAGTGAATTAAGGCTGACGTATTTACGTCTCAAGAGCAGACTTGCTACTCCACCGATTTCAGTCATGCTATGTTGAGCATGATGCATCAATTTCAACCAGTCATAAGGCTTTCAGTGATTAGAATACCAATCAACGTACGCATTTTATTTGGGCGTGGTTTGATACTCCCTCCTAGTCTATGCTTGGATCTGCCCTGTTGTGTAATTATTATATGTTTAGTAAAGGGATGATCACGATATAGGCAAACCAGCGTTTCAACGGATCACCGAAACTGTTCGTGCTATTATAGTCAATGCAACATGACGTCTCCACAGGATACCCGACATGGGATCACGTGACTTTTACTCAATCAAGCATGGAAATAGCAATTTCTCGTGAGAAAGTGTCAAAATGTTAATAATGGTTGTTGGTTTTCCCAGTAGATGTTCTTTTGTTGGCTTGTACCGCGTTTTACGCGAGTGGGTTGAACATATGTACAAATGTGACACTGGATTTGCTTTCGGGCGGCAAACGTCTCTGGGCGAACATCTGTTGTTTTATGGTCAATATATCTTCGTTCAGCATACAAACTGTTTTGAAATGCAATTCTCACGTTATTGCTCACCACGATTTTAATAAACGGTTTGATGTAAAGCCGATGGGGTCAAGGACATCAACAAATATAGACATGGGATTTTCTTGCGCTAGTTTTCATTTTCAATCTATTTTCTTTCGTGTTGGATTTCTCACCGCTAGGATTCCAGCATTCCAATGTCCATTGTTTACATAAGCGCGGATTTGTCTTCGAGCTCGTTTCTTAATTTTTTTGCTTCATCCAAGCTTTGTGCTTAATCTTTTTCTTCGTAGATTTTTCTTGCAAGAAAAACGCTTTCACCATATTAGGTTTTGTTAACATTGTTTACATAAACCTGGTGTTTTCCTGTTATTCTTCTTATTTTATTAAAAGGACTTTTGTGATTTCTTGAACCTTGCAATTCTGAAATATGCGTAAATAACAAATTATAGGTCTCTGGTTCCTTATAAAGCCGGACATCTTTTTAGTAATTTTTACTGTTTGTAGTCATTCTAATTAATCTGTAATTGATACAGCTGGCTATATTTCTTCGAAACAACTTACAACTAATAATAAATTACTGGGGTGAATTCCCTAGAAGTTGAATTGTTAAAAAATGCCTTGTCTTTCTGTGCTGACGATGGTCGGGGAACGTTTTTCGTCAACCCTTATTCATCGTGTGACTGATCGTAGATGAGTTGCCTCTAACGAGTGTCATCGATATCAAATGCTTGTTTATAAAGCACGCATTTTGCGAAAGAGAAAATTTAATGGTAAAAGTTACGAGTGTCTTGATTTGTAAAGCGTTTCGACTCCTGCGCATATTTGGATAGAATTTTGCGACCCAGAATATTACTGCTTAACACATCCTATGCAACGACAATTGATTTGTCGTACTAATGATCGATATGTGTATTGCTATATTGTGTAAACTTAACACACTACTTTGCTTTTCTTAAACTTCCGTCTTTAAAGAGACTTAAGGCCGATTTCCATTCAGTACAAATTGTTGCGCGATCGACTTTTTGCGATCACTTTCTTTTGAATTGTGTGCAGCAGTGTTAACCCTTAAATGCCCATACTGTTCCGGTCGAAAGCTTTCAATTGAAAAGAAAGTGATTGGAAAAAGTCGATCGTGCGAAAATTTGCACAGAATGGAAATCAGCCTTTAGTGCTAACCTTGTAATAAAAACTCGATGCTAGTAGCTACAGCTCAAACTGAAAGTGGGAACCATAACGAGTATGCGAGTTAAGACGATTGTATAGTAATGCTACTCTCACGCAAACCAACGTACAGAAGCAAAGTGTCAATGACACTGGTAGCTAACTCGTAAAACAATCGTTGTCAACAGTATTTGTTAATTGCAAAAGATGGCTTAATTCAAATCACATGCTGTTTTGACAACAATTTCCCATTTTATTCATGCTATTCCTTGCTTGTTGAAATGCACAGGGATTAAAGCATGAGCTGATGTTGATGGTAGATCAAATTAATGCACGAGTATTGCATTGTTCTTCTCTTTCTACGTTTTAATTAGTTTGAATCGCATCTTCGTTTAGAACAGACTTAAAAAGCCAAACTTGGACATTACAACCGCATGTAAATTCTGCATTGCGAAACTTGCTTTAATTCCTGAAATGGTGTCTGCCAGGCACTTCAGGATTTCCGCTAGCATATCTTATGAATGAATGTCAGTTCATTTCGATTTTTTTTCTCTTATGGGTGGAAGTTGGGAGATATTTTGGTCTGTTTCGGGTTAACTTCCCTAAGAGCGAACGTGTGTCATGGCTAAATCACTAACTTTTTTTTCAACTCCATGAATGTTTTGAAGCGTTTATCTCATATTACACCCGGGTTTCAGTAATCATACTTAATGCTTACGTATTTTTTTCGACTTTCCATCCTCAACAACGCGTGTATTCATGGTCAAGTGCAATGAAGTGTGAGAGAATGTGTAATAAATATTGTAAAAATTATGATACAACGAACGACATTTACCATATCATGGATGCGTTGATTGAAAACACATGTGGACTTGATTAAAGTAAAGGCTGCAGAGCGCGTACATGATGTCGCGACCATCGTCCGGTGGAGACGTTTCTCGAGACTAGATCCTGTTGTTACTGACAGAAATGCTAAGGAAACAAAATTATCTCAATTCTTTTTGCTGCGTGAATCATTTCTAAGGTCAATGCTATAGCACAGTTGGACCGTTTCACGAGCTAACGCCTTCACGCAGGAAAGCCCTTACGTCAACCTAACATCGCTCGCGATCTTTGTACAATCATGTATTTATGCACATTAGGATTTGACTTTGAATCGACCGACTTTAATTGTCCTTTTGTCACCGAACAACTGCGTGGTATTTAGTCGCAAAGCCGAAATAAAAATACGCTATCCATCTAAGAGATGCGCAAATTGGCATTTTTTACATAGACTACAGACAGCCGCATTAAAAGATTGAAATCGAATTATAGACCTTGCCTGTTGTTGACCTCTCAAGTGTCGGGACATATTATACCGACTGTCTAAGATATACTTTCGTTACCGAAAGCGCACCATGATTAGTGCAAACATTGTACAAATGACATACGTCTGTGTATCCTATATAACACATCTGCGATCGATATGTTAGCGCTTGAAATATATATTCTCATCACTTTCGAAATGCATTCACGGTTCAAAGCGTTTTCATAACATTTTCGACCCATTTCTGTGTAAACCGCAGAGGAAATCACTCCCCCCCTTCCCTCCTCCGAAAATATTAAATCGTGTGTACTTAATTTTAAGCGACAAAAAAAGTTATTTTTTTGTTTAAGATGGCCATCGTAATTCGACGATGAGATAATTTGCATAACATGCGCTTATCATAATGCAATTGAATTAGCCCCTATTATATGTGGAAGCTTTTGCTTGTATACTTCAGTAATAGCTGCTTATCGTTTTTATATTTACAAATTTTATGCGCAAATACTTTGTTTGCTATTGTATGCGGCTTCGATGAGCGCAAAATGTAATTAGGCGCTTTCCCTTGCACCATTTGTAATTGTGCGCACTTAATGCTAATTAATGCTAAACGAACAGCCCACGCGACGATTTTAATCAGTGCGCGCATGCAACGTCATTGAGGTATAAATCTCATCGTATGCCATAAGGGAGGGACAGAAGTGGTCGGAAAGTCGGTGGTCACTAAACAGAAGGATGATCGAGAATTTGACGATGGATAGAGCAATGGAAGTCAATGACGAAGACATGCTTTTACGGACGCTCTCTTACTTTGAATTGTGTCGTGAGTTGTCGGCAGACCCAGCAGTTACAGCTACTCCTTCGTATAGACTGGAAGCCAATCACGTCAACGCCGATAATGAGATTCATTCGTCATTCTTTTCCACGCAATCACAACAGAATAATATCTTTAGGCAACCCTGTTCTTTAATTGGGGAAGCCAATAGCTTTCAAGAGTTTAACACTAAAGGTACGTATGTGATTCTCGATGGTTTGAGGGACTGCACGTATAGAGTAAATATATATATATATACAACGTCGTAGGAATATGTGAAGACAGTTTATGAACCGCAAAGGCTTACGCTCGGAACTTCTGTTCCCGTTCTGCTTATTAGCTTAATTTTGTTTTCCATATTTAGCTTCTCATTTTTTATTGAATTCTAAGTAAATCCGTAAGCTGATACTACATCGTTGCCACCGTTGGCCGAGCTCTTACCGTTTACTCAAATCGTTAATCTAAATATTAATATACACACCAACGGGTGTATGGATATATACAGACGCTTCTCTGCGATCTTCGCTTTTGTCAAAATACGATGGGATTATTCAACGTGAAGATGACAACACTATAATTCATATATTTTGTATTGCGAAAAATTTTCCTCGATTTTTTCTTTTCGATTTTGAAAATTCCCGTGCAATATTCCTGTTTTAGTGTGTCGTGTAAGCAAGCATGGGGTTGATAATATCATATGAATTTGAGATAGTCCTTGTTGATAGTCGCTGCTGGACAAATTAACCTATCCCATTTTATAAAAACCATCGGCTGCCAAAGATTACACTAGATTTCACCCTATTACGGTGTTAACAGACGTTTCGCCAGCATCGCTCGACTTCTTTGTGTAGCGTGAAAGTCTGAAAAAGACTAAATAATAGATGTATTTGTGAAAATTCCTTAGATTCGGGCTCTCCTTTCCACTTGATGTATGTACGTGCATATGTTTTTGTATTGGATTGATTGACGTAGTCTTGCTGAGGAGCTTTAAAGAGTCGTGCTTTTATGACAAAATTGTGGTTTTTAAAACGACGTAGAAATATGTTCTTTCACTGCAATTGACATGAGCCGTATATTCATTATATAAGTTGTACATGATCGAATGCTTAGCGAAGTCCTTGCCTACCGATCAAAATGTTATTCTTCATGTAACGAGGCTCAGGATTGACGGTTTTTTACCGTTTTTTCTTCACATCTGTGCGAGCGAGACAAATCCTAGTTAATCTCATTTATTGGAACATCCTTGAAATATATGCTGTCAACTCCGAAACAGTTTTATTTCCTAGCACAAACATCGTACACAATCATCGATGTAACACATTTGGACCGACAATACGCCAGGACTGTGATCCCGACCGATTACTCGCTCTGATGCAGTGATCCTATCGACTTTCGTTCAAAATAGTCTTTTTATAAAAAGTGATTTGACGCATATTCTCTAAGTCTGCGTATTCTTATAGTACGAAGTAATGAAGAAACTTTGTGAATTGAATAAAGGCGTGTATGTCTCGCACTTTAAACAATCAAGTACATTTTTAGCTCATTTTTTTTGCCATTAATCCTGCGTGTGTATGTACTCACCCAGATCTAACTTGTCTAATCCATTTGCTAACATATCTATCTATTTATTTGGAGGACAAACCTGTCTGGCTCATTCTATTTTAAGGCATTAGAGCAAAACCGGAATGTACGATATACGCGCGCAGGTTCAATGAAAAATCGACAACTTTGAAATAAATCGTTCGAAATCATATCATTGCTCACGAAGACTTAAGTGAATTCAAAAATGATGTTTTGCGCTGGACAAAATTTAAATCACATGTATTCTTCGCCTAATCAACGGAAATGTGTTTAGAAGTATATACATACGAAGATATATATTATACATATATACAAACATACATGAACATAAATATAATGTGTACTATGAACAGATATGTCTCCTAGATTGTTTCCGTCGTCTACATAGATTATCTGAGTTTGCGCTTTCATCGAGCACATTTAATGTTTTGCCGATTTAAACTAAACATCCCTTGTGCCATTGTATGGGATTTATCGTACTGGAAAGATGCCAAACGTCACCAGCGTTTATTGTTTTCTAATGGGTGTGGGAATACCCCTGGGCTATATTGCAAAAGTACAGTCATTTTTCTTTTTGGTAACTTAATTATTTTCACCGCAAGAGACTGATGTATGTTTTAATTACTTAACAAAGAACAGTGAATTTCGAAAAGAACGCGACAGTCGTTTATTTGAAGAACTTCAATACAAAGCTAAGACACCTGCCCTTAAAGAATTATGTTGTCTTTTCATAATGAAACCACGAACAGTTGTTACTTTTGATTGTGTAGTATCCGATTACTAAATATCTTGCGAAGTAGGTGAAATTTACATTGAAAAGTAGATCAATTTTTATTGAACGTTTAGGAATTAAAAAGACCAGCGAAAATGGTGCAAGCGACAAACGAAAACGGACGCTGTTCACTCCGTTGCAGTTGTCTCGCATGGAAGAGGAATTTCGACAGAACATGTATGTTGTTGGCTTAAAAAGATGGCGTCTCGCCACGGAGCTCTCCCTGACCGAAAAGCAAATAAAAATCTGGTTTCAGAATAGAAGAATGAAACTAAAAAGAGAGCAAGTGAAAAGTCAATGTCTAAGATCAGGATTTCCATGGTATTAGAAACATCACACTGCACTGTGAAACAGGCAGTTTCTTGGGCATTCGAAACTTGAAATATAATTGGATGTCGCGTATGCAGGAATTTGTGAGTCGTTATCTATGCACTTCTTGTGTCGGTCTCTTAACATTCCTCGTTTTCCGGGAATGAAAATTGCAGGAATAAAATTTCAAACTCGACTCTCCCGAAACAAGGATAATTTTCATGTAATCATTTATGTCCTTTCAATTGTCACATTTCTTCGATCGTATACAAGATAATATTTACAATGTATATCGGACATGGTAAACTCGGATTTTGTATAAACGGACGTATTTTGTAATATTTCAACCTCTTCGCTGTTTACTGCCTTGTTTGTTTTGCTGTTTCCTTGGCTGCGCTATATCAAAACTTTATGTCTCTTGCTTTAAAAGCATTTTTCGACTTTTAATCCATTAAAGTGGAACTGTTTCTTGCGTTCTGCCGCTCTGTTCTGCGTTCTACACGAAGATCTCGCTTTATTCCAAACAACACGAAGAAGTTCGTAATCGGCTTTTCTCTTTATAAGTAAGAATATGAAAAAAATCAACCATAGTTACGAGTGATTGTTATGCTAACTCGATCAACTGCTTCGGGTTTCCCCTTACACTGAGTTGAAGGATTGTTTCGGGCCTTGTCGTATTTCATAGAAAGGAATTTTGTTTACGAGTTTTCACAAGCATTTCCAAAATGTTTAGAATATTTTTTGATTGTGTGGGTGACGTAGCTGGCACACTTGAAGGAAGAAAACCTTGCAGGAGACCTCATCACAGACATCTGTTCGCATTTTTTGAGTCGAGAGCTGTTTCTTAATGAGAACTATATTGAACCGAAATGCAAAATCTAATGTAAAAACACACCATTTTGCTTTATTTACCTATATTGGCAAAAATATTCGACTCATTTCAGTTCAAATGAGTAATTAGGAACGTGCGATCGACTCGAATGACTTTCATGAAAGGAGGGCTGATATGTCGATTATTTGTCGGAGCAAATTGAATCAAAAGTTCAACATCATAATTATGTTTAGTGTGTAATTTCTGCTCAAGCCATGTACACAATCTTTCTCTGTTCTTTGATGTAATGCTGTCGAATACCTGTTACTTAAAGTCCAACTGCGAAGAAGAAAATATTTCAACAATGATAACCCTTGCGAAAATGTAACTGCCGCATTTTATTCAAGATCGTCAGTCTGTGAAATTGAAACGGTTTCTTTAATGAAATCATTAATTTTAACTGTAGTGAAAGTCTAGCTTTCATGTATGCCATGTGTGATGAAATATAGGCAGGCATTTCATCGGTGAAAATTTTCATGTCATAAAGTAATTATGAAAGTCCAATTTCTGTTCGAAATATTTCGTTTCGTGGATGAAAATAGATGTGAACTTTTGTGAGGGAAATGAAGCGATTAAAGCTACTGTCAAAACTGTACCGACCTAATGTGTTTAAAACATACAGCAATTACACAAACAAGCAAACGAGTTGGCGTTAATATATCACACCAGGAAGGCCGTGTTTGGTGTCCTAATCCAGTTTGTAAATGTTTAAATTTAGACATTACGGTTGCGAACTAGCTTGTTTGCTATTAAATCATTGTTTAATGACAAGTAAAATAAGACTTTATTGTTTCAACTACATTAAATAAATAAGACCCTTAAATCTGAGTGATTAAGGAAAAACAGTCAAAACAGTAAGACCATCAGCGAGAATAACTCTGGGAGTGCGATAGCGCATTTCGAGTCCAGCCCCCCCACCCTGAGACACGCTCTTGTATGAAAGACGTGCTCTTCTAATCGTGAGTCCAGACATTGCCAGGGGGGACCATCGTCTGTTGTTTAGATCTTCTATTTGTGTTCATCGTTGGAGAAATTCCTTTTAAGTTTTGTTCTTTTATTTTGAAACCAAATTTTTATTTGCTTTTCCGGAATGTCTAGCTCCTTGCTCAATCGCCAGCGTTTCATCCCCACGATGTAATTATCGTGGTCGAATTCTTCTTCCAGTCGCGTTGTTTGAAACGACGTAAATGAGGTCCGGCGTCGTTTTCGCAAACACTCTTCTTCGTTTTCCGTACATACCGCATCTGAATAAAGCAATATGATATGAGAAATATTTCAAGGGCCTCTCGCCAAACAAGAAGCATAGCATTATCGAACTCTTTGCTTTTTTTTAATCGCCCACATGCTTTTTGAGATAAAACTACTCCAATACCACTAAAAAAGCGTCTACTGATGAGGTTCATCGACATATCGTAAATTGTTTATGAATAAAATGGAAAAACTAGCGGCTTTCTTTGCTTTGTCTTTCATTGCAGGACTGTTGACTATGATAATAATTTTGTGACGTTAATTAGATGAATCTCATGTTAAGTATGCGACAAGTGTTTCATGCACTTTTGGATCGCCTTCCATTTCAAACAAGGTTTATTCAAGCGCAATCAGTGAGATGAAATACAATTTTGGCTGTGTGAAAATCCTGGCGATGTTGTATACTTCCAATTCGAAGAGATTGTTAAGTTATGATTTCTTTTTGAGCTCAGACACTACTTGAATTCCTTGATGAGTTTAATAAATTTTGTTAGTGTTAAATGCGCATGATATAAAACCTTCAGTGATAACAGCGTTTTTACACCGAAGTAGCTCGTTTGAATGAAATTTTATGCATTTTGTAACAATGAATCCGAAAAGAACGACAAGATAGTTTTAAAGGAAATACATTCACAGAAACGTCTGCTGACACTAAATGAATCTACGCATGGAGTTTTAGTCTTTCCAGAAATGAATGAAAAATATATTTAAACAATGCTCAAGCGCACGCAAACCTGCCGTTTCTGTTTTCGAATCGTGTCCGTTGTCTGACATCCAAGTCCTTTTAACGGTTAGAGCAGGAATCGCGCTGTTACTATCACCACTTTCCTCATTTTCAAACTCCTTTGAAAGCGTTTTTTTATCGTCCTGTATGTATTTCACACGAATTCCGTGAAAGTAAATCACCGACGGCCTGCTGGAATTGAATGTTTTAGCTTGAGGCTCCATGGGCACGAGAAATCAATTCAGAAAAGAACCCAGATCCTTGCAAACGTGCGTCACTCGAAGTGTTATGCACTTAGGTCGTGGATCACCTTGACTCTTAATGTCATAAGGTTATTAAAACATCTCGAGCATTGCTCGTAAACTTTAATACCCGTTGATTTTGCACGTGAGACAAATGTAATCGATAAATCTTATCTTCGAAGACCATTACGTTCTTAATTTACCGGTTCCGGTGTCCAGAATACGCTGCTTACTCCTTGTAGCTACATTTGAAAAAATCGCTCCCCTCCCTGCATGTTTGCACTTCGGAGTTATGCGAAATGGTTTGGGGAATCGATTTCGAGAAGGCAGCAAATCTTGCCTCGACTGTGTTAACTGCTGCTGATCTGCTGTTAATCAAGAGTTTATCAATCCTTTCTGTGCGTAACGATAAAAAATGGGGGAGTACTTAAACATTGCTTGGAATGTTGTTTACGAGCAATCTTACTTCCTCAGTCATCTAATCTATGTGAGGATTTTACGTTTGCATTCATACATTCAATATATACATTCTGTATACAGTTTATTTTGTGTACAAGCTCTTCAAAACAAGGCGAAACCTCTCCAAGAACGGCGTAGTGTAGAATGTCCAGTGTTTTAAAATGTCAAGTGTAAATGTCCAGTGCAGTTGAATGTCAAGTGTAAATGTCTCGTGGAAATGTCTCGTGGAAATGTCCAGTGCATGTATACTTCTAAAATTGTTTGCGGAGATTTTTACTCGTTTCTTAATTTTAACGATCAACATTGCAGAACTCTGGAGCACATTCTCTCAAAAAAATCTCCAAGAATGTTTATGCTTGAGTAGTAATTCTTATGACGGTGAATTCGATTTGTTGCACGAAACTCTCTTTCCCACCAGGCAAGATTATATTCATTGATTTTATGAAAAACGCTAACATAAGGATTGTAGTGGCATCGCAGGTAGCATTTGCAATTCAGCAAATAACAAGGCTTTCAACTGCATACGGAACCTGCATTTTGGTATTTGTGGTATTTAGGGACTTCTTGGTGAATTCAATCACGAAATAATTACGGAGTCGTTAACTCGTTTTCAATTCGTTTGTTTGACCTTATATTGCCTTAAAAACATTCAAAGTACTCACGATGAAATGATAACAAGTATACTCAGATTTCCACTGCATTCTTTGAAAGGAAAACAACGCAACGACACGTGAAAGTCACAAGTGCTTTTTCCTACGAATTCCGTAGATTTGCCATCTGACATCATCATACATGTCATCGATCATGCATATTCAATGTACCAAAACCTTTTAAATTGTATAACTGCGACTTGCCTCTAAGCGATGATGGAATTTTATGATTGAAGTGCAGTGAGGGATCTTACTTTAGAGTGATATCAAATTTTAACTGGATACAGATAATAAAATTTCAATTAAGTTTAAGTATGTCGGACGCTCTTTATCTGAAGTAAAGAGCTTCTATAGAAGATAAAGAGCTTCTTATATACTTCAACTTGGAATTCTTGTATCCAAGTACCCCGTTAAAATTTAATATCATTCTGTCGCTCTTCTCTCCAGCCTACAGTCCTTTTTGACGATGGCGTCTCGAGCTCTTCCATTCCAACGCCCACACGACTGTATAGGCGACAAAAGTGGGGTAATGCACTCAATTGAAAATTATTTGCGTGGGACAGATCTTATTACGCATGTGATTACCCGTAATGGCAGCTACTCAATTGCATTTTCAGACCAATAGGAACGCCGAGCTGTCTAAGCGCAGCCACTAAATGAATATGCAACACCGGGTTGTATGAATCGTCCCGCTGTTTATTCCTTATATTAAATTGAATTCTGCCCACATTTTCGATCGGTAAGACAATCTTTTCTGGTACATCAAGTGTTGATGTAATATGTGGTCATCTTCCTACGCAACTTGAAATATTTTATCAAACTGCGTTTTTTTATTACAGCTTAATTTGGAGTAGAATCAGGAATTTTCCATCTTTGGAATACGAGTGTTTTGCAGCAGTGAGTCTGGTCCTCAGATCATTTGATGATGTAATCAAGTACAATGTCATATTTCAATAATTTAATTTTTTGCATGTCTGGTCAGCTATCAACATACAAATCAATTTTGCATGACTTGAAATTTCATTCCCTTTCTTTGTAAGCAAAGTACACTAAAATGAATTATTGTTTTCGTTCGAAAAGCTTTGAAAGGACTATGCTCCGTGAAACGCTACGTTGTCGCTGGAAACGCTCTTTCATTGTAGCGAAGCAAGCTCGTTTCTTCTCTACAACACAAATACTTTTGCGCTCAACATATCTTGCGGTCTTCTTCCTACGCAACTAAAAATGAAAATGGAAACACTGGTAAACAATGAACTGAGTTAAATTTTCTCAGGCCTGTTAATAGTGTTTCAAACGTCGAACTTTACAAGCACCGAACGCAATAAAGACAAAAGAAAATGAGAAACTTCCTCATCATTTATTGTTTAAATGCGTTCGGCTCATGTAAAGTTCCAAGTTCCGGCCTCAAATAATAAATAACGATTTAGTAAATAATTTGGATTGTTGGAGTATATGATCGGGCTCGCTTCGCTGTTTTTGTAGAAAGCAAACAAAGAAAATTTTGCATAAAGGCAAAACTTTCAAGCAGCCTACGAAACTTGCTGATGAAATGATATTTACTTCAGTAAAAGACAATTCTTCGCGATACAAAGTATCCCAATGTACGAAGAACTGGACTGAGGCCTCTTCTCCTACAAGCATGGTAGTCACAAGGTTAGCTTTTGATTATTTTTTTCTCGATTTTTTTAACCGTTGTACGTCATTCGGTCGTTGATTTGATATTCTGACAGCGCATGCAAGGGCTTGTTGCCTGCATTGGCCGACATGCAAATCGATGGCGTATTGCGCTTACACAAAAATCGCTGCTGACGAGTTTCTTTACTTTGCAAGCTGGGTTTTGAAAGCGTAAGATCTACTCGAAGTTCATATAACATATTGATAGGTTTGTGTAATACTACACATTGTTATTGCGCATTTAATAAAAACGACAAGTTGTTTCAAAATAAACATGTTTCAACATCTCATGATGCCATCTTCAGTGTAAAAAGGAATATTATGTATGTGATGAATATATATAAGAGTAATATGATACTGTGATACAATTTATACACTTATGAATAGATTATTATATTACAATGAAATAGTGGTTAGAATTAATGATGAAAATATTTACAGTGGTAGTATGGACTGCTGGTACGGACTATCTACACTGCTAATGGTGGTATACCAACTCGATTGTGCTGGATGTAATTCCCGATGCATTGGCGAAACTTCTCGTCACTTACCCACCAGAATCAGGGAACACACCACAACTGACAAAAACTCACATGTCTTTCGACACCTTTTAAAATCACCTTCATGCAAAACTAACTATCCACCATTTTGCTTTAAAATCATCGACACTGCAGATACTACATTCGCACTCAAAATCAAAGGAGCACTTCACATGAACAAAACTAGCCCTAATCTCAACGTTCAAGTTTTTCGTTTTAACACTATATTCAACCTGTAAAGATTTTCATCATTAATTCTAACCACTATTTCATTGTAATATAATAATCTATTCACAAGTGTATAAATTGTATCACAATATCATATTTCTCTTATAATACTGAAGATGGCATCATGACATGTTGAAACATGTTTATTTTGAAAAAACTTGTCGTTTTTATTAAATGCGCAATAACAATAGTGCTTTTACGCGGTTACTATACATTGTGTTTGTTCGAAGGCCAAACGAGTTATACATAGCTACTGGGTAATATTCTTTGTTTATTTGTTCGCGATTTTTTTATGATTTTTATACATTTCAAACCGCATACAGTTGACATTTCATTTCTTATTCCTTTGCCATCATTTTTGTTGCATTCCACGTTTGATAAACGGAAGAGAATTTATGGTACTAAGCCGGAAGAGGGTGGACTTGTTGACTAATATAATGGTGTATTATCTTATGTCCACCTTCCACCTCGCCAAAATAATTATCATTAATTATTTATGCATTAAGAAATTAAATATGTCTGCATACAATAGTAAATAAATATTAAATAGTTGTTGATTTTTTAGACAAAGATGACGGTTGGTTATATAAGCTGTTATGAGCGTAAGCTGCCAATCATTTCAGCGGTTTAATGGCACATTATCAGCTAGAATCGCTTTGAATTGATTTGTATCAAGTTCAAGTCGTCAAAATGAAAAGGACCCTGTGCTTCATGAGCGTGTATTCTGCTTGTAAGTATCGAAACAATGAGCGCGGCGAGTTTGTTTTGTCAAACGCATGATTGATCGAGATTTTTGTATCAAATGATGGTCAAATTTTAAACCGATCTAACTTTTCCTAACGAGTACTTCGTGATATTCTGGAGGAAGTAAACTTTCACAATCAATAATCGGTGCTTCTTGCATAAAAACAGGTATCTTGTCGTCGCTGGCCGAAAGGTATTTTCAACAAGAAGATGAGAAATTCTTGAGCGGGATAAAACATTACGAATTTGTTGAGCCGAAGCTAAGCAAACCATGGAGAGAAGTTGTGGACAACCAAATTGAATACGGTGACAGTGTAAGCAAGCTTAAGCAACAAGTTTTTCAGTCAAAAATGTCGGTCGTTTGGTCAAATTTAGTCCTGTAAAAACAACATGCGGGAAGACCTTTTGCCCATTAAAGTTTTCGTTCAAAAAACTTTTACATGGCCTCCATGCATCTAGCATGAAAAATGAGCATGACTAAGGAATGAAAAAGGTTTCTTTGTCTATTTAATAATTTCTATTGATAATCCCGACTTTTGGCTTTTATGCTTCTCGTGTGCAAAAATATTGTTTGTGTTTTGCAGGAAAGCAGCTTAAAAAGACGTCTTTCGTTCGTTCTTCGCGGACAAAGCGTTAGCATTCTTCTCACTTTAAACAGGTGATCAGTATTTTTGTTTATCAGAAGGCTTTTTTAACAAATCCATTTGATTGCGTTAACGCGGCTGTAATCAAACAGATATATAACTAAAAATTTTATTGTGACTAGTAATTATCTTTCAAATCAGAGTCAACATTTGCTCAAAAAAGCAAACAAGCTTTGGTAAGATTTGTTTGCTTTCAAAAACTCAAGCTGTTATTATTTGAGAAACACTTTTTTTACATTTCAAATTATGTTAAACAAGATGCCGTCGACCACTCCTGTTTGACGTAAAAAGGTCGTTGGCCTCGCTGTTGAGCAATTCGTAATTCGTAATCAAACTATCCAAACAAATCAAAAATATTCTCCAAATTGCCAGCGATTGAAAAAAAGTTGTTTGGTATATTTCATATATATTCATATATATTCATAATAGTACTGGAATACTTGGTTGTTGGTCGTGTATTGCCGTTTTTCATCGTTAATGTTTAGGAATTGATTAATCTTGTTCTCCAGATTTAAATCTATTGTTGCCTAGTGATGGGACTTATAGCTATGTTTGTGAAGTAGAGGATATTGATGCATTTTTTCTATACTATTATAATGTTTGTGAACACAGACGTATAATGAATGTTTTCGCAAACTGATAACAAAATGCCTTTTTTACTGGAGAAAACGACCTCACACCCCCACCCCCCCCAATTACCTGCACGCCGTATTTATGAATGTCGGTTTTAGAAAAAATAAGAAGAGTCTTTTTTTTCGATATTTTTACTCTTCTTGTTTACAATATATCCAAATTTTCGACCTTTTCAATCCATTATTTTCAGGGGGTGGGAGTAGGGGGGTAGAGTGGCGGCAGTCAATGGCGAATAGCGCATTTGTCAAAGTATCAGTAAGTCTATATTAGTTTCTCAACTTTTCAATTTAAAATTGTTTTATTTTATAACAATTAGTCGCCATTAGTCATGAATTTCAAGATCAAGCCGTTGCTAGTTTATTTTTATTTTCCGCTGATACATCACTAGCTGGGGCAGCATGTATGTCATGGCATGACCGTACGAGTAAAATTTTTTTGCAAGTAAAGTTTTTTCAGTTCACGTTCGTGACTCACTCTTTCTTTTTAGCGGTCTACTTTCACCGAACTTCTTTGAAAGGCATGTCACCAAACAAGGTCACAAATATGTTAAAGAGGTAAATAATAAAATAAACACAATAAAACGCGTGCGCTGATTGGTCTAGAGCTGTGCATGCATCAGCTTGCGCAAAACAGATTAGAGCTAAACAATCAAAGAGAATATGCGAAACAATCATGAATGAACACATTTTAGAGGAAGATCACAACGTTTGTTTTGAATTTGTCTTTTTTGCATTTTTGTTATGTTAAGATGTCTTTCGTGCTTGTACTGGTTTATGTGCGAACCAAGTGCAACCCTTGACCTTCGATCTCAGGCTTGTAGTGATCTGCTCTCGAGTTCTCTCAAACGTCTCCTTGGCTTGCATAAGCCTGTGCAAACACTGGAAACATCTTTTATTTCTTAATTGAAGTACAATGCGATTCAATAAAATGCGACGCGATGCGATATGCTGCGATGTGATAAGACACGACGCGATCCGACACGACGCGGCACGATCCAACGTAATCTGATGCGATGCAATGCAATGCAACGCAAGGCGACGCCATGCGATGCGATGCGATGCGATATCTATTGAACTCTCACTAAAGAGGTTTTTCAGAAGTACCTTTACATACTTGAAGATATTGATCGTCTAGTTATTGTAGTCTTGAGAACTATTGGTGTTCGTCGGTTTCAACAACCTTGCGGCTTCAGTCACCAACATTTCTTCTCAGAACTACACTATGCTTTGCGATCAACATCAGCAAACATGCAATGTCAAATTTTTCCTACAAATTTGATTAATGATTGGGACCGTGATTACGCTTCTATACGAGGTTACGTGAATTATATTTATCGCATTTGGAAAGATGAGGCTTATATAGCTGACAAATGACATGAGAGATAAAATGAGGTAATAACCTACGAGATTGATGAAAAATGATGGCCAGAATTGCAGTTTTCACTTCTGAGAGTGACCTTTGAAAATGAACTTGATTTGGGACTCGAGTAATTAATAAATTTCGCTTCCAAATGAAGTCTTTAACGTATCAATGTAAATATTCTTTAATAAACAGTGCAAGCTTTGAATTGTTCGTGATTATGTATACGGTTATCATAAATGCTACTCTGAGAAAAATTTTTTATCAGCCTCGTGCTTGCTTTCTTAATCTTTATATTGGTATAGAAAGCACGCCATTCGATAGTTAAAAGCCCGATCTTTCGGAATACAAAAAATTGCTCACGTAGTTCCGTACTGTATCGTGTTAAAATTGGATTGAATTTATAATATTATTTTTTTTGTATATGATTTCATTTCAGGCCGATCGAGATTGTCATTTTCACGGTCACATCGAGGGAGAAAGTGAAATGGTCACAGCTTCTTTATCCACTTGCAAAGAATCAATCGAGTAATTATGATCTTGACGATTTTTAGATATTTCATCAAATCTACAGGGCGAACTAAAGAAAATTTTTTCTCGTGCGCGGAATGTTATTTTAGTACATGATATATACCTCATCTTCCGAGAACATTACAAGTATTTTTGTCATGGCAATCCTCTGTTGTGATAAAACGCAACTCTTTAGACAACGATTCAGTTTTCAGAAAAGGTGAAAAACTAGACAGTTTTTCATCGTAACTATTACTCTAGATGTGCAAGCAACGTCGCGGCCGCCATGTTGGATGATTTGGACAAGGATTTTCCTGAGGTATTTACAAAGCAAATGTCATCCAACATGGTGACAATGAAGATGGTTGCAAACCAACTTCTGGGAAAGATGTGATTCAGATGTAGGTGTTGAGTGGAAATGCTTAGTCATGATCATGTGTATTATTACCATCTTAAATATTGTCGTTTTTTTCGGAGAATTTTGTTCTCACATCTTTAGCCCGTATACACCTACATCCATTTGACGACCTTGTGCTTATTCGTCTGGCTTTTCTTCCCTTTCGCTCTGTAGATTTGAGTTCGTAAAATTGAAATGAGTTATTTGGGAAAAAAATAAAAAATTCTTGATGTATAATCGTGTTTCGATTTAACATAAAGTCATCTTCTGTATGATATATGTGTTAGGTAAAGATATATGATATCTATGAATTACTATTTAGTAAAACGACGAGGTGTTTGTCAAATGCGTCTTAACACATACCATATAAAGTTAACTTAGCCTAACCAATGACCTAGAACCCAATCTACTAGATATCTCACTTCGCCAAAGTTCTATAATTAGGAGTGAGGCAAGGCGCCATCTTGAAAGGTGGAAAAACTGACGATATTTACGACTGATATCTGTATTTGCTGAATAGATTTTGAGTAGCAGAGTGATAGGGTAGGTTTTATTCTTGAATATTTTATAGGATGGGTTTTTTAAACTTTGTTTTAACTTATTTTTCATTTTGAGTTTTGCTTTTTACCACCTTTCAAGATGGCGTCCTTGCCTCACCTTGACATGATAGTTACACATATAGATGATTTGGTTCTAAATCATTGAGCGCAACACATTTTTCACAATTCATCCTTTTACTAATTAGTAATTCATAACTCTGATATGTCCTAATATAACACTGTAAATGCTTTACTTCGTTCATACCGAAGATGACTTAATGTTAAGTCGAAACATGTTTATGTTGGACAAATTTGTCCCTTTTTCTCAAATGCCTTATTACACTTGTGCTATTAAGGTCAAATTTAAATTGCGGTGGTTTTAAATTTTCTGTTCAAATTTCAGGGGTTCCTTCACATTGGGAGAGACGTCGTACGTTATTCAACCTATAAAGAGCAAAGACGGCAAGGTGTATATAACAACACACGATCTTAGTTTTCATTCTTCTCTGTCTGTGACGCTTGAAAAACTTCGCATAAATGCACTCAGTAAAAAAGCAAACGAGGTTTCATGATTATTATTACCTGTGCAGTTGTAACTTCACCGTTTCTTCGTAAAGTGATGAACTGAATGTTTTGAGGCCATGAGTATCTTTTCATGTTCAGTAGATGTAAATCGTCCAGATAAGTGCAGTCCAGTGCTGAGAAGGAGTGTTGGTGTCGACATTTAGAATTTTCAATATCCTTAGAAATACTGAACAGTTTTTGTCGTGACTACTCTACACCCACTAAATATATAGTTGCTCTTTCTTGCTGAAAACGAAGTATTGAAACGGGCATGCACAGCATCGTTGAAAAGAAACTTGTTTGTATTTCTAAGATGATAAAATGACCATCAACCAATCACATGGCTATGAATTTCAGGTCATGTGACTAACGGTTTGAAGGATTTCTGAGCGAAAAATAAAAATAAAGAATAATAGAATTGAAAAATAAAGAATAGATAAAAATGGTGAGCAACGGCTGATCTTAATTTTTAAAAACATGCATCTTCCTGATGACTTGTTTTCTTTCTTTGAGAATTGTCAGATTTCAAAAATGCACGAATATCTTTGATCCATTTATAAAGATCAAAATTTTGTATTGATTTAGTATAAATCTTGGATTGTAATTACAAAACGCCTTTTGTTCACTGGAAAACTAAAGCATCTTGTTTACGCAGTTCATCTTTATACAGGCTAATTTCTGTTTGCATTTTCTAGATATTCCACGTTGTCTTTGATCAAAAATATGGGAAAGCATTGAAAGAAAGTTGCGGTACATGCGGTACATGATATACGTTAATTTATTCTTGTGTCCACTCATCATTTTATGTATATACCTGAAATATATAAGATCTTCTACTCAATCTCAATCTATGTAAACTCAATTCAAAGTATGTAAACAGGAACTATGAAGACCATCTGCCTTATCTTTATATATCAACGAAAATAATATTCCCTTTTAGGGTACCAAGAAATGGCCGATTCTATAGAAATTAGTTATGGAAATCTGTCGCAATTTAAACAGAGAGTAAGTGGATCTGTATAATGACGCCATCAAACATCTTCTTGTGTCAAGGAAATTGTTGACTTTTAGGCTTCTAAAGTTTCAATTTTATTGACAAGTGCTACTCGTAATTTTTATGTATTCTTACCAAAATATGACTTTTGACAAAAGAGTTTTAACGAAAAACATAATCGCTATATGTTTTGATGGTTAAAATGAAGTTAAACATACACTTCACGTGTTCCATTCCCGATAGTTTTATAGATACACACATAAATAAATTATTCGATTCGCATTCTTTTTGGATGAGGACAGTGCCGTCCCCATTTTTTTCAGACTGGGGGGGTGGTACAATGGAAAGGTGTGAGATAACAACGGGGGGAAGGGGTTCGGGCATGCCCTCTTAATAATGTCAGGTTCTCTAAAAGGTTATTTCTCGCCTGTAGGTTTTACGGTCATCTAAAAGCCACAGGTTTTTTGAAAGGCAGTTTTTGCTTAGATGTGTCACAAGTATCTATACAGGGTGTACAAAAATACTGAACAGTTAGGAAAACGTCACTAAAGTGATCAGCGCGCAAAAAACGTTTAAAGGAAATAGTTGGACATTCTATGGTTTATCTGACTGTAAATTTGTAACAAATAATAAACATTTTTGAAAACAAATTGTGTTACCGAGAAGCGCTTTTGGAATAGCTTGCGCACGTGAATGACACCGCTAAAAAGAAATTGCAACATTAGCAGGTTTAAATTATGGCACATGTTGCTCAAGCTACAAAGTTTTAAGCAATTCGGCATATGCGCCTACATACGCTGTTTTGAATTTTTCGTTTCTAGATGCCTTTTTTTCTCATCCTCGTCAATTATTCACAAATGTGAGCTTAAATTGATCCACGAATGGTTTTTGCATATGTTACGCGCTAATCACTTTAGCGACGTTTTTCTAACTGTTAAGTTTTTTATGCACCCTGTATTATTGACATCAATCTTCGAGCTTTACTGTTTATTATATTGGTTATGCTATGTGTCTGTTTATAGAACCTCCCCACATTTGTCTTTAATTAAATTTAACTACTTTTAAAGTTAGTCCTCGAAATAACTAGGGGAAGGGGGGTGAAACGTGCCCCTCAGTTTTCTGCCTGGTCACGCCCTAACGAGAGGGTGTTGCCATGGTATCTCCGTGACCGCGATTCCATTTTTTAGGCTCGAAGAAGCGTTATTCAGAAACCAAAGTACATTGAGATAGTCGTTGTAAATGATAAAGTTGAGGTAAAGAGAATAGCCCTTTTTAAGCTGTCTTTGTTTGCTCAACATTACGGAAGCCATTTTATTGTTATATTATTTTATGCTCGTTTTTACAGTACCAAACGTACGGATCAGAGGTTGCAACTCGTGCGATCGGTGCAATGAACTATGTCGACCTGGTCGGTACCAAGATATTTCAAATGAAAGCATTGTTATGCCATGCTTGAGAAAACCGTCCACTCGTCCACACAATTGATTTTCCTTTCTTCATTAATACAGACATATAAAGTTCAGAACATACGTGTTGTCCTGGTCTTCATTGAAACATGGACGAACACTGAACCATTCGCCGTTCCTTCAACTCAGAACCAGTATCTCGATGCGTTCAACGTATACAAACGGGATGTGCTTGACCGCAATAAAACAACATCCGCGGATCATGTTACCCTGATCACGTGAGAAGTCGTCCCAAGCACGTGAATTACGTTCTTATTGAATCGTGATCACGTGATATTTTTCTTCTTTTTTTATCTGCCCACGTTAACACGTGTTAACATGTTGTAGACGAAGGATTTTCGCAAATAGCCCAGACGGTTTGGCCGGTGTAAGAACGATATGTCATACAACATCGACGTCTTTAGTAACCGTGAGTTAATTGACAGTGAAATTAGATCGGGGGTGTGTGTGTGTGATATATCACGTCGGCTGTATCATATTTTTTTTAATCCTATTTTAGGACCGATCTGACGTAAGTATATACGGCTCACTTCTAGCTCACGAATTAGGCCACAGTCTTGGCTTTTCACACATTTCTAGTGGTAAGTCATTTACTTGTTGTTTAAGCAAATATCATTAGACAACAAACACATTTTCATCAAATTTCCAGCTGAAAACTGCGAAAAGTTGATTGTGAAGTCCCTCAAATGAACCATCGTGGTGTTCATTGTCGCTAGAAGCAATAATCAAATTTCACAAGTTTCTTATTCTCCTCCAAAAATAAATTTTCCTGGGGCCTGTTGCATGAAGCCTGGATAGCGTTATCTCCAGTGGATAGCAAATTTTTCTGAACGCTTATACAATCTCTTATTAGAAAAAATATGCGATTTGAACTGTGCAATCACTGACATAAAATACTATTTCAAAGATTACAAAATTTCTTTACCGCAAGAAAAATATAAACACCTTTTTTACAAGTTTGGAAATTTTTGTTATCCAATGGATAACGCTATCAAGGCTTCGTGCACTCGGCCCTTGATTTTTAACCTGCTCTAGGACAGCAGGCAAGGGGGGAGGGGTTTTGACACAACCTGCTGTAGGATGGCGAGTGATGAGGAGAGGTGCAGACAAAACCTGTTGTAGGATGGCTGGTGCTGAGGAGGGGTGTAGACACAACCTACTTATGATGTCTGGTGAGGAGAAGGGGTGCGGACCCTAATTGCTTAAGGAGGAGGAGGGGTGCGGAAACTACCTGCTTAAGGATGGGTGTTGAGTGGGGGGAGGGGTACGGATAAAATAGGATGGTGTCATCGTTAGTGGAAAGTTGAAATTGAGTTAAATTAAAATTGTCTCAATGCTTCGTTAAATTTTAGGTTGCAACTGTAAACAAGTATATGCTAGGGGCGAATGCATGATGAATGCTATTGTTGGGTAGGTAAACTTTTTGACTGCTTTGAAAAAGTGACGTCTTGCCCTTGTGTTTATTACTTAACTGACAACGTTTAAATGCAATCTATTTGTTTTACATAATGAGACCAAAATAATTCCCATTTTTAACTGACAAAAAAGTTGTTTTTGTTTCCCGCCAACACTTGGAAATTAAAAAAGTCAAGATTTTGCATGTACCACGTGTACATGATCTATGGAATTGAAGAAATGCTATTGGCTAGCTTAATCACGTGATAAAATGTGATTGGCTAACAAAATAAACAAGCAATGGCTGATCAGTTTTATTGAGATTGTGTTATCGAAGACGATGAACAAATCAACGCTTGAAAGCCGTGTTTTTTCTTTTCTTTTTGCTCAAATACGTTAACTGCTTTAACTAGGTCATTTTGATGTTTTTACTTGCCCATTTAGATAAATATTCAAATAATTTTGCCGTTCGTTTGTACTTTGAAAACAAGAAATTTCGTTACGTCATTTACGTGCGTCTGTCCTCTTATAGATTATAGCTCTCGACCAATGAAATTGCTCATATTCTTGACATTTAGCGTTCATACTTAACACGACTTCCGTTAATCACTCGGCTTTTGCCAAGAACAAAAAATTTTCCTATTATATCACGCTTTATCCTGCTTTTGAAATAAGAAGGACAACAAATTATCCTATTATATCACGTTTTATCCTGCTTTTGAATTAAGAAGAACAACAAATTATCCTATTATATCATGTTTTATCCTGCTTTTGAATTAAGAAGAACAACAAATTATCCTATTATATCATGTTTTATCCTGCTTTTGAATTAAGAAAACAACAAATTATCCTATTATATCATGTTTTATCCTGCTTTTGAATTAAGAAGAACAACAAATTATCCTATTATATCATGTTTTATCCTGCTTTTGAATTAAGAATAGATTTTCAACACCATAAAATTCTGAATGTGCTGAGTTTCATCGACCATAATTCATGAGAATATAAATGAGTTAGTTAAGTTGCGAAAACACCATAGAAAGGAAGATCGTAATCTTCGTCGTTTTTGTAACAAACAGTAGCGTAGCCAGTCCGATCTTTTTACTTCCACAGCTTTGCAAATATTTTTGTGTACACTGGCCGTGAGAACAATAGATTTCGAAAGAAACGAAAATTTGTCATCTTTCATATTTTACATAACGGGGGAAAATCTGCTGGCTGGCTTCACTACTGCTAACAGATCATACAAGTACAATACATCCATCATTGATAGCTACATAAATCCATCACCGACACTCTATATCCATCATTATCTATAGCTATAGCCCCCTGAAGTGGTCAGATTGTACGTTAGCTAAATGGAAAGCAGTTCAGCTGACCGTCAACTATGGCTTTTGCTTGCTCAACACTCCGAGAAGGGTATGGTTCCCATCTTGGATACACTCAGTGACGTAGCCAGCCCTCAAATTTTGGTCGTTCTATGCAAATTTTAGATCATTAACATTATTCATTTCTTTAGAAAGCTGTTGTTTTTTACAGTGAGTGAACAGACAGAAATTAACATGGCACGACCGAATTTGCCGGCTGTCTGCACTCCATCATTACTGTGCTTAAATTCTTTTCATGTCTTTATGTTTTATATCTTTATGTTTTATACATATTTTTTTTCTACAATAAACAGCCGTACGTGCCGGTTAAATGTCAAAATGGGTTTATAGACGACGGAGAAGAATGTGACTGTGGAGATGAACAAGTAAATTGCAAAACTACACTGTTTGAATTAACCGTGGATTCCTTGCCAGCATGCTACCGTTGTGTGATTCTTTTTATTGCCAGTATACAGACAAAATGACCATATTTATGTTGATTAAGGCATAAAGTTATAGGCACGAATTTGAATGGACGTCAGCAAATCAACTGCATGATTTAGCTTTAAATGTTGTTGATCCCCCCCCCATCCATTCCTCGTCCCCCTTTACCCTCCCCTTCTCCCTCTGCTTGTCATCTCCCGACAAAGTTTGTGATCCCCCAGTTGCCCCTCATCACCCCCCTTTATCTTCCCCTGCTCTTTCTGTTTGTGTACGCACGACTTTGTATGATTTAAAATGCTGTTTGTTGTTTAGACTTGTAAATTATTGGGAAATCATTGCTGTAACTTTACAACCTGTAAATTTTATCCTGGAAACGACTGCGACGTTGGTACATGTTGTAATAACTGTACGGTTAGTAAATTAATCATCGAAATCATCAGCGTCAATAAAATATTTAAAGAATATTCACATTTTTTTCTTATACATACAGTTCAAGCCGAGCGGATCAATATGTCGCACGGCAACCAGTCCATGTGATCTAAGTGAATATTGTAATGGGGAGAGCGCTGAGGTAAGCTGTAAACTTTTTGTTCCATTGTATTGTGATTAGTGATTGGTTATCTTGATGTCTTTGGAATGAAGACAAAATACTACCTTGTTTGTGAAAAAAGTTGTTCGCCAAAAATGTTGATAGTTAGAAGCATTATTATCTTAACTTATCGCAGCAACATGCAATTTTGCATGTTCATTATGACATCTAAAATGTCTGTATATCCTTTCTGTGCAAGGTAGATTGTTTTGTGTTTATTTTACTGTAGTGTGCACAAGATACTTATGTTAATGATGGTCAATCGTGTCGTGTGGCAACGGTAAGTCGTCTTTCGTCGGTTTATTGTTTGTTTCGAGATTGTGTGAAAAATTTTATAAAATTCAAATTACCATAATCATTCTAATTATTATAATTAAATTCCATTTATTCAGGGCGATAGTTACTGCTACCATGGATCTTGTCATACACTTAATAAACAGTGCCATATCCTCTGGGGGGATGAAGGTAAGTGTTACAAACAGAACTGTTTTATATAAATATGGCATGATGCAGTGAATTCTGAATTGAATTTGTTCTTAAACGGTTCCATGCGATTCGCTGATTTAAGTCACGTGGTCACTATGGGCTGTACCGTAAATGCTTGCTTTAGCGCTGCTCCCACTTAAGCGCCGCCCTCTGTTAAACGCCGCACTCAGAATCCGGAAAAGTTATTTAGCGCCGCACCTGAGTAACTTTAGTGCGGCGCTCGAAAGAAATATGGAGTTATTAAACTTTGAAGTTGACGACAACCTTGTTCTGCGTCTATGTGACATTTTCATCAAGTTTTATATAATATTGTTTAATGAAAATAGATCTTGTCTTCTCGTTTTCTTGGGGCATTAAAAATATTTAGTAAGCGGCGCGTTCAAAATCGGAAAAATTAAATAAGCGCCGCGATGCTAAAGCGAGAATTTTCAGTATTCAGGGCAATTTAAAGAAAAGAATTGTTTTATGATTTAGGCACTCAAAATTCTCCATTTTGTCATCAAAAAATAAATGTTCTTGGTGTAGCACATGGCTTCTGCAAACTTCTTGCTGGTAACAGCTACAAGAAATGTTCGCACCTGTAAGTAACTTCTGTTACGCACGTGCCAAATTTTTATGTTTATTCTGCTTATTGTCGTATCATTTTTTCTCAGTGATTCGTTGTGCGGGAAACTTCAATGCACCAATGTGAAGAGTGCAAGGACTGCAGCTGGAGTTTTACCTATAGATGCCAAAATTGGCTCGGTGCGTTGCAGGTAAATTTGTATTTTTTTATTGATTCGTCCTCTTTTTTCCTCTTTCCTCAAGTCATTATGGTAAACGGATGTTAGTTATTTTGAAAATGAAAATATTTAGGAGTGCCTATCTAAAACAGGATAACATCGCGTTGGGTGGAATGGTCCTCGATGGAACCAAATGTGCAGAAAATAGGGTTTGTCGGAATGTTTTAAAAGTTGAAAATCGCAATTGAACCCTTAGAGGTTTCATTTCTTTTGAAATCTTACTGCTGACGTTTTTTTGTACGATTCTTACTACTGGATGCAGTTTGTGGACAAAAAATTGCCCCTTTAGAAAATTATCATTAATAATACGGGTTCTTTGTTTGTAAAATTTGGAGAAATGTGTAGAAACGAAAAGATGTTTAAAGAATAAATTTAAAAAAAGGCGATGTGAACGATCGTCAATAAGAAGAATGAATGTTGAAGAATAGCAGGAATAATGACGTCGTTGTGCTTGCAGGCCATACATTAAAATGAGAATTTTTACAGGGATACATTATAAACTCCTAAATTTCTTCCCAAAAGAATTTCAGTTTCCTTTCTCAATGCAACAACTGCTTGCAACCAACGACGTTGGTTACTCATTTCATTCATTTTTTGGTACTTGTAAAAGTTCATCGTCTTTTGCTAGTTGTCATTTTTGAGTCGAACCATTTATCTCTGCTCGTCAGTTTTCGAAAAGATTTAAATCTGGTGATTCGGTCGGCTGAACGATTTATCTCTGCTCGTCAGTTTTTGAAAAGATTTATATGCACATGACAAACATGTGACTTGGACGAGATTTGAACTCGCACCTTCGGGATACCAGTCCGCCGCTCTAGTATCCCAGGATTAATATATTATATATATTCTCTGATGATGGCTTTGGAATAAAGTCGAAACACGGTGCCATCCAGTAAACTGCTCTAGTGGCGAGAATCTCTCGTCCATACGCAGTATAAAAAGAGATTTGACTCGTCTCCAATCCCTGTGGGCTTGGTAGCTCAACAGGTAGAGCGGCAGACTAGTACCGAAAGATGTGAGTTTAAATCCAGTCTAAGTCACGTGTTTTTCATGTGCATATCAAACCGTGTTAGAATTAATATATTATAATTATTCTCTGATGATGGCTTTGGAAGAATGTAGTTATCTATTGATGTCTATAAGGAACCACGTGCTTTTTATGAACGAGTGGGGTGCAACTTTTTTGTCCACATCCAGTAGCTGATCAACTATTTCTCTTTCAATTGAAACCTGGTATTTTTGCGTGCACCAACCATGTTGCTTTTTAATTACATACGCAGGTGTGTATAGACAACAAATGTAAGAGTACAAGCGAAGTATTTCAAAAACCTGCATGTCCCAATGATTGTTCGGGTAATGGAGTAAGTACATCTTAACAACAATACTCTTTCTCAATATTTATTCGTCACACTGTAATTTTTTTATAGGATGCACAGCTTGCTTTCACGTTACACGATTCATATTATTTCTCTCCTAGTTCTCTTTTATTAGTTCTGTCTTAGTTCTCTCTTAGCTCTCTTATTGACATCTCTTAGTTCTCTCTTGTTAGTTCTGTCTTAGTTCTCTCTTAGCTCTCTTATTGACATCTCTTACTTCTCTCTTGTTTGTTCTCTTATTCTCTCTTGTCTCTCTCTCTTATTCTTCTCTTATTGCTCTCTTATTTCTCTCTCTTGTTCTCTCTTCTTCTTCTCTTTACTTCTCTCTTTAGTTCTGTCTCTCTCTCTCTTTCTCTCTTTCTCTTCTGTTATCTGTCTCTCTCTTCTTCTCTCTTCTTCTTTCTCTCTCGATTCTTCTCTCTTCTTTCTCTTTTCTGACATCTCTTCTTCTTGTTCTCTCTTCTCTTATTGATCTCTTACTTCTCTCTGACATCTCTTACTTCTTCTCTTAGTTCTGTCTTAGTTCTCTCTTAGCTCTCTTATTGACATCTCTTACTTCTCTCTTGTTAGTTCTGTCTTAGTTCTCTCTTAGCTCTCTTATTGACATCTCTTACTTCTCTCTAATTAGTTCTGTCTTAGTTCTCTCTTAGCTCTCTTATTGACATCTCTTAGTTCTCTCTTATTAGTTCTGTCTTAGTTCTCTCTAAGCTCTCTTATTGACATCTCTTAGTTCTCTCTAATTAGTTCTGTCTTAGTTCTCTCTTAGCCCTCTTATTGACATCTCTTACTTCTCTCTTGTTAGTTCTATAATTGTGAGCTCTCTTATTTAATCCTGCTATGAAATTTTCTCTCTGTTCATTCACTGCAAAAAAATATATTACTGAAGAAAATAATAATGATAATGCTCGTGAATTTTCAAAGCAGTACTAAAACTTGCAGCATGCGGGCTGGCTTTGCTACTGTTCATATGACGCGTCTAGTGTTAAATTTGACGTTGCATTTAACCAAATTTTGAACATTTTTTGATCCGACTAGATATGTAACAATAATGGTCACTGTCATTGTAACGCTGGTTATGGTTGTCCAAACTGTACGGAGAAATGCAAAGTGCCAAATATCGGTGGAAGTATCGACAGTGGAAATGAGTGTCACTGTAAAGGTTGGTGATTGTGTAATGTAATCAATCCAGTGCTGTAGAACTAAATCCATCAGGGGAGGGGCTCTCTTGAGGTTTTTGTCAATAGTGCCTTTTTAAAATTACCAATTTTCAAAGGTAGAAGAGGAGCTCTTTCCCCAAGCGCCCCCCTCTTCTACAGCACTGCTTCAATCTGATTTTGTTACAAACTTTTTCATTTTTTGCAAACTTCTTCAAATGCTAGAGCCGACAACCACAGTTACAACAATTATCACCACTACACCGAAAATTGTGACCACCACACCGGAAATCCTGACTACCACACCGCAAATTTCAAATGGATATAACACGAGCATGAACATCACTTCCGCTCCAACCGAGGTTAAAGGTATTGGCATGCTACTAAAGCACATACCTCACTCTGTATATGATCTTGATTTATTGATTGTTTTTGTCTATCCTACATATGAATACCGACGCCGTTTCTAATTGGTGATTTACGTGTGTGTTTAATACAGACGTCTATCTTGATGAAAAATATTTTCCTCCGTAACAAATACAGGAGGAGGGGCGTCCCCATAACTTTCAATAGCCAAAACTTGAGGCCCTATAAAAATTCTCAATATTCAAAAATTGTAAATAAGTATTATTTCTAAATACAGCAAAACGAGTTATAAAATGGACAAACCAGAATTTTCGTCCCGCTCTTAATCACCCGTAGCAAACGCTCTCATAGTCGGCAATCGCTGTTTAGCCTCTCATCTTTGACATGAATGATTTTCCTACCATACTGCTGCTGTTGCACAACTGGTCTAACCTGTCTAAGGTTGCGCTTCTGGCATAATGGCTGGATCATTTCAACATAGTTTTTTTTTTTAGGTGAGGACGGAAAAGGCGGCAAATTCACCGACAGTAAGTTCGAATATTTTCTGTGTCGTTTCTACGATTCAAAAGCATCATGTTTCGTTAATCTGCATTTAAGGCACCACGAATACTGTTGCGCTTGGTTCTGGAGTCTTTGTTTTCATCGCAATATGCGTTCTGTGCTTCGTTTTTCGTAAGAAAATCAAGGAGGCAATTGCAAAACGTCGAGCAAAGCAAGAAAAGTCACGGTATATAAATATATCATATTATATGTTCAAAGATTGGTAATCCAGGCATTATGTTGTTTAAAAATAAAAGTTTCTCCGGATTTTAAAAATAATTTTATTGAGCTTTCGACTACTACAAACAACGTTGTATAAGACGACAAATTAACAGACATATCGACAAACCGATCATATTCTCACAACTAAAGAAAAAGGATAAAAAAACTACAAACAACACCAAAACTACAACATTACACTCTAATATTATTAACACCAATCATATTCACACTACACCAAAACCCATGGCAACGCATTCCACCCCATCCAATCACATTAATCCACCCGCTAATCCAATTAGACGCTCTAAGCTTCTACAAGCTGAAAGCAAGTGTAAATAGATAATTTCCTCATTCTGCTGAAGGCTTGAAGCAACGAGTTGAAAGCTCAACAAAATTATTTATAAAATCCGGAGAATCTTTTATTTTATACAATATCCTATTATCAATGATAGTTATGATAATTGCATTTGTACGTAGTCAATTGCAAATAAAAATAAATTTACAGGGTGTATAAAAAAAAGAAGACCTTTGAAATTGACGTACTAGCTATATAGTATAATGTCTATCACTATGCTAAAGAGTTTGCATAAAGTATTGCGATCTTCTTGCATTTATTACATGTCTTTCGTACAATTTTTTAATACTTTTGCTTGACGTCAATCGACAAATCAAGTCGTGAAATATTAGATATTTCGAGAGCTGTTTTAGGACTCTTTCGAAACTAACTTGCAGTGTAAAGAAGCAAGAAAAAAAGACTTTTTATTTCATCGTATGCATAATTGCATTTGCCTCAAAGAGCTTAAATAACTTAAGAAGGTTTTTTACTGGTACCAACTTAATATTACGAATTACTTTTTCCTTTCTCATGCGATTCTCGTTTTGTTTTCAACTTTAGACACAACAAAAATTCACAATGGGACGATTTACTTTTTCCTTTCTCATGCGATTCTCGTTTTGTTTTCAACTTTAGACACAACAAAAATTCACAATGGGACGATTTACTTTTTCCTTTCTCATGCGATTCTCGTTTTGTTTTCAACTTTAGACACGACAAAAATTCACAATGGGACGATTTACTTTTTCCTTTCTCATGCGATTCTCGTTTTGTTTTCAACTTTAGACACAACAAAAATTCACAATGGGAAACTAGAGTAACTTTTAATGGTGATGCTGTGACTTTTAGTGAGATACGACGGGTTTGATTTTAGCATGGTTTGTATATACGCATGCTTTTAATTTATAAATAATGAACGTTAATTATGAATAATTTTTGTTCCGTCTTACTATTTTTGAGAAGTCGTTTGAGCAAACGAGAAATTTGATTTAAAATTAGAATTGTAAAAATGGTTGAAATAATATTTGTTCATTTATTGTTTACTTGGAAAATATACGATAGCGTTTTTATTTCAATAAATATTTGTACCAACTTTTACGCGTCGTTTCGAGTGGCGAGATGAAGCATTCGAATGCGCAAAGCCTCTCATTTGCGCAGATAAAATTTAGTTCCTACAACATGATGAAAAAATCCAGCTGTATTAAAAACAAAATTAAGAAAATACAACAGAACAATATGCATGTTTTGCTTTTTATTAAAATATTCTTTCTGCCTTCTCTTTCATACAAGTAAAGACATATTGGTGGACATAAAGGTAGATATATAAAGATAGACATAAAGGTACACCCATGTCTCGCGTGTTGAGCCTGTTTCACACGAAGTGAAATACAAAAAACTATAACAAAAAATGAAACAAAGGCAATCAACGAAGCATGTGAAATAGTCAATTATACTAGCGCAAGCATTAGGACAAGTGTAAGGCCAAGTTTAAACGACGAACTTTACATGAACCGAACGCATTTAAAACAAAAGATAATGAGGAAATTCATCTCATTTCCTTTTGTTATTATTGTGTTCGGTGCTTGTAAAGTTTGACGTTTGAAACTGGCCAAATACATGATTTGAAAAAAACAGAAAATAAAAATCCCAATTTCTTTGTCTTTGTAAGCCCCTAAGGCAAAAGAAATAAAAGTCTTATCGTTCAGGTTTATGATCAGACACGTGTGAACGAAGCACAAGGTAAGGTCTAAATATTTAACACCAAAGCCTATAAAAGTACCGCTGAATTCAGAGTTGGGAATTAACGGAACAGAAGTAAATGCAATGGCTGAGAGTGTGAGAAATGGAAGTACACAGGAAGAAGAGATAGCAATGATTGGCGCTTTGAAATTACTCGAAAACTGATGATAACTTGGGCGATGAACCGGTCGAGAGCAAGCTGAAATATTTACCGATATTTATGAGACCGCATGTAGGACGACTATTATGTCAAGTTTGGAAGTGATTCTCAACGAAACTCCACTTTACACTGCAAGCTATGAATGCAGAGTTACAATGACGTCCACCAAGAAAACTATTTGTCAGTGGGTAAACTTCACCATATTTAAGCATATAAAAGGCATGCTGTTTATGTTGAATCGACCAGTTCTGTAAAACACCGTCATGACTTTATAAAGTGTTCTCAAAGAACAGTTAATTTGCTCCACAGTATTTAGAGAAGACTATGAATATATTTGAACATCGAGAAGCCATGGCCGAGTACTGGGGATAAGGACTACCGTAAAATATGCTGTCAAAAAGAAGAAATGTAATCGTTTGTGTACTTCACCATTTCTACCCAAATATTCACGGCATTGCTATGCCAAAATGGTTAATGTCTATCCGATGAATGGCTTTGTAAGAAAGTCGAAAATTTACAGTTTCTATCCACGTCCTGTTTTAAGTGATATGTTGTATTCTCAACAAGTATTGTACAGCTGCTGAAACAAATCTGTACCGGCTAACCTTGGTGAAATATTGTACAGATACCAAAATTATGCAGACATACTTTCTTTGACGTCTCACGAGAGGATAGACCCATGGTTAGAAACTGTATTAATGTATTGCTGTCGTGTAAACAGACAAACACTAAATGATGATGTCCTACAACAAAATGCTTTTCGATTTATCTCTAGAGTTGTTGTGAAAATGTCAATGGTTTAAAAGTCAATGCTACAAATGTGTGGTTGTTTTCTTGATTGTCCCTTCACGAAAAAAATATTTTTTAAATCATACTTCAAGCATCTATTACCGTAAATGGACTAAATTTTCTATCTGTTTCCAACGCACTCACTGATCGACAGCAGCCGCTAAAAGAAATCTGCATGGCTTAGCCGTAAGAAAACGTGCTGCTTTTGAAACACTTGTCTCTTTCATTTTCTAAAGAAGACATAAGTAACTATAGATGTTTTACTAATGTATTATTAAACTAACATTAATATAAATGTATATATTTGTACAACTCTTTCACTCTATATACGTACACTCCTTCTTCGTGTAATTTTTACGAATGTGATTTTTGGTTTGTTGCTTTATCTTTAGCTGGAAGTGTTCTGCTATAATTTTGATTCGAGTCCTTCAATGGTCTATTTTTTTTTGCATTAAATCCTTCAAGGTAGGAATGGCACTTTAAAATGACCAGGTGTCTTCAACGAACTCTCTGGTCTAGTGGATAGGCACAACCTTTCGAGGTTGTCTGGAATAAGATGTAACTATGCTAAGGATGAATAAGAAATAGGAAAATAAGGAAATAGTGCTGGTTAATAGAACAAAAATGGGATTTCTATTACTAAACTTTTCGAGAATGGAATGCGACACTTAGTATAAATTCAGAAAAATTCGCTCTCCGATGAGAAGGAGAGCGAAGAAAAAAAAAAGATAGAATCCCATGCAAAAAACCACTCTTAAAAAAACTAAGTCTTTTGCTCAAATTTTTTTATGACTCCCTGTGATCAGGGAGTTATTTTTTTAAATTTTGAAAAGTCAGGAAACCCAAGAGCAAACAGAACGCCCTAATCATCCCTTTCTTACTTCCAGGCACTCGTTCCTCAGTTCGACTTTCTGTCTTCCACATCCGCCGCGTACACCTGCCAAGTGTGTTGGCAGAGGGGCGAACCAAGGATCTTGTGCACCGGAGGTCATTGATGTCGAACTAAACGCCCAACATCGGACAGTTGAGCTAACCGCTCATCATCGAAAGCTCTATGTTTTTTGGAGTATTTTCTAAATTTTTTCAATGTGAAGCGAAAGAAAAGTAGAAGGTATTGAACCTTAGATGGTCTTGAACCCGAGAAAGTGAGAGCACTGCACCGTCATCTTTACCACTCGGCCAGAAGGGTGAATTGGAAAACCGTTTAAAACATGTCAAGTGTTTCGGACTAAACGACATTGCCTTCATTTCTCTTGAGGCTCACTTTTAATACTGTGTTTATTTTGTTCTTCGTCACCATCATTGCAAAGATGAAGAAAGAGACTTAGTAGGCATTATAGTTGTTCAACTCTAACATTGCAGGAGAATAAATGATATAACCGAAAGGAGGAAGACCAATAAAGTATGCACAATGTCAGACATTGCCATGTGGTAAATCAGAAAAACAACGCGCATGTTCGTAGTCAATTTAATGGCGCTGGGAGTTTCTAACTTGTCTGTTCAAAGATAAATGACATATTTTTTACCATCATGCATGATAATATTTTAATGTTTTCTACAAAAGCATATGGTTCCTACAGAACAGTATCCACTTACTAATTCATAGTTTATTCAAGTCTTTTTGTCATTTTACAATCTTGCCATGTCTTGAGTGTCATCATTTAAAATATAGTCAATGTAATCAATATAACCAATGTGGTTTTTGTCTACATTTGTGTCTACCTTTGTGTCTACCTTTTCATAGGACAAAGTTCTCATTTTGTTGAACACGACAATTGAAAAATTAGTCATTTCATAGTCGAAAGTATTGGAAGTAATCGAAGGTGGTCAATTCACGCGATGCCATAAGGTAAATCAGGGCAGTGACAAGCATGTCTTTGGTCATTTTTTCCGATGCAATGGCGTCGAGATAATTTGACTTTATGTTTGAACTAACTGAACTATTTTTTATCATCATACGCACCAACCATATTCTTTTCACCGTTGGTTTTGGTTGCACACAGAAAAGAGTTAAATAGCAAGGACATAGAAACCTATGAAATGACGTCTTTTATGATATCGTCTTTTATGCAATGACAGCTTTTTCTCTTTTACGTAATCGATTACATCTTTTTCTTCTTCTATTCACGCATTTTCACAAATTTTCACACTTTTTCACAAAAACACTATAATTCATGCATTGAATTCAGTGAAATATAGTCTTTGTGTGAAAAAAAATGTGAAAATTTGTTAAAATGCATGAATTATAGTGTTTTTTGAAAAAAGGTGAAAATTTGTGAAAATGCATGAATTATAGTCTTTTAGTGAAAAAATGTGAAAATTTTTGAAAATGCATGAATTATAGTCTTTTAGTGAAAAAATGTGAAAATTTTTGAAAATGCATGAATTATAGTCTTTTAGTGAAAAATTGTGAAAATTTTTGAAAATGCATGAATTATAGTCTTTTAGTGAAAAAATGTGAAAATTTCTGAAAATGCATGAATTATAGTCTTTTTGTGAAAAAATGTGAAAATTTGTGAAAATGCATGAATTATAGTCTTTGTGTGAGAAAATGTGAAAATTTTTGAAAATGCATGAATTATAGTCTTTTAGTGAAGAATTGTGAAAATTTGTGAAAATGCATGAATTATCTACCTTGTTTGTGTCTACCTTTGTGTTTACGTTTATGTCTACCTTTATGTCTACCTTTGTGTCTGTCTACTCTTATGTCTACGTATGTATGTTTAGCATTGTGTCTACCTTTATGTCTATCTTTGTGAAAATGATTGAATTATAGTCTTTTTGTGAAAAAGTGTGAAAATTTGTGAAAATGCGTCAATTATAGCCTTTTAATAAAATTCCGGTGAATGTAAAAATTTGTGAAAATGCATGAATAAAAACAGAAAAAGATGTAATCGATTACGTAAAAGAGAAAAAGCTGTCATTGCATAAAAGACGATATCATAAAGACGTCATTTCATAGGTTTCTTTGTCCTTGCTATTTAACTCTTGTCTGTGTGCAACCAAAACCAACGGTGAAAAGAATATTGTTGGTGCGTATGACGATAAAAAATAGTTCAGTTAGTTCAAACATAAAGTCAAATGATCTCGACGCCATTGCATCGGAAAAAATGACCAAAGACATGCTCGTCACTGCCCTGATTTACCACATGGCATCGCGTGAATCGACTACCTTCGATTACTTCCAATACTTTCGACTATGAAATGACTAATTTTTCAATTGTTGTGTTAAACAAAATGAGAACTTTGTCCTATGAAAAGGTAGACACAAAGGTAGACACAAATGTAGACAAAAACCACATTGGCTATATTGATTACATTGACTATATTTTAAATGATGACACTCAAGACACGGCAAGATTGTAACATGACAAAAAGACTTGAATAGACTATGAACTACTAAGTGGATACTGTTCTGTAGGAACCATATGCTTTTGTAGAAACCATTAAAATATTATCATGCATGATGGTAAAAATATGTCATTTATCTTTGAACAGACAAGTTAGAAACTCCCGGCGCCATTAAATTGACTACGAACATGCGCGTTGTTGTTTTGATTTACCACATGGCAATGTCTGACATTGTGCATACTTTATTAGTCTTCCTCCTTTATGTTTTATCATTTATTCTCCTGCAAAGTTAGAGTTGAACAACTATAATGCGTAGTGAGTCCCTTTCTTCACCTTCTCTATGATGTTGAGGAAGAACGAGTTATACACAGTATAAAACACGAGCCTCGAGGAAAAAGAAGGCAATGTTGTTTTGTCAGAAGCACTTGACATGTTTTAACCGGTTTTCCAATTCATCCGTCTGGCCGAGTGGTAAAGATGACGGTGCAGTGAACTCATCTTCTTGGGTTCAAGACCTTCTAAGGTTGAAGACCTTCTCCTTTTCTTTCGCTGAACCTTGAAAACAATTAACAAATACGCCAAAAAACATAGAGTTTTCGATGATGAGCGCTTAGCTCAACTGGCCGATGTTGAGCGCTTAGTTCGACATCAATGACCTCCGGTGCACAAGATCCTTGGTTCGCCCCTCTGCCAACACACTTGGCAGGTGTACGCGGCGGATGTGGAAGACAGAAAGTCGAACTGAGGAACGAGTGCCTGGAAGTAAGAAAGGGATGATTAGGGCGTTCTGTTTGCTCTTGGGTTTCCTGACTTTTCAAAATTTAAAAAAATAACTCCCTGATCACAGGGAGTCATAAAAAAATTTGAGCAAAAGACTTAGTTTTTTTAAGAGTGTTTTTTTGCATGGGATTCTATCTTTTTTTTTCTTCGCTCTCCTCCTTCCTCCTTATCATCGGAGAGCGAATTTTTCTGAATTTATACTAAGTGTCGCATTCCATTCTCGAAAAACTTAGTAATAGAAATGCCAATTTCGTTCTATTAACCAGCACTATTTCCTTATTTTCCTATTTCTTAATTCATCCTTAGCATAGCTACATCTTATACTTGGCAGGGTTCGAACCTCCACTCTCAACCTCGAAAGATTGTGTCTATCCACTAGACCAGAGAATTGGTTGGAGACACCTGGTCATTTTAAAGTACCATTCCTACCTTGAAGTATTTAATGCCATTGAAGGTCTCGAATCAAAATTATAACAGATCACTTCCAGCTAAAGATAAAGCAACAAACCACAAATCATATTCGTAAAAATTAGACGAAGAAGGAGTGTTGATAAAAAGAGTGAAAGAGTAGTGCAAATAAATAAATTTATATTAATGTTAGTTTGGTAATACATTAGAAAATACATTTATAGTTACTTATGTCTTCTCTTGAAAATGATAAAGACAAGTAAGTCTTTCAAAAGCAGCACGTTTTCTTACGGTTAAGCAATGCAGATTTCTTTTTGCGACTGCTGTCGATCAGTGAGTGCGTTGGAAACAGATAGAAAATTTAGTCCATTTACGGTAATAGATGCTTGAAGTATGATTTAAAAAATTATTTCGTGACAATCAAGAAAACAAACCACACATTTGTAGCATCGAATTTCAAACCATTGACATTTTCACAACAACTCTAGAGATAAATCGAAAAGCATTTTGTTGTAGGACATTCATCATTTAGTGTTTGTCTGTTTACACGACAGCGATACATTAATATAGTTTCTAGCCATGGGTCTATCCTCTCGTGAGACGTCAAAGAAAGTTTGTATGCATAATTTTGTTCTCTGTGCAATATTTCACCAAGTTAGTCGGTACAGATTTGTTTCATCAGCTGTACAACACGTGTTTAAAATGCAATATATCACTCAAAACAGGACGCAGATAGAAACTGTAAATTTTCGACTTCAATGCAAAGCCATTCATCGGATAGACGTTGACCATTTTCGCACAGCAATGTCGTGAATATTTGTGCCTTACAATCAGTGTTGCGTCTAGTCCAGTATAGTACAAAAAAAATACACATGACGCACAACACAATTTATGAGGAGATGATCTTTGGTGATTTTGAAGCACTGAAAGGAATGGATCAACTTGAACAATAAAGTATTTTGAACGAACTTAAAATGTTTAGTGTTTTGAGTTTCGTCTCTCATTTCGTCGTACAATTTATTTTGACCTTTCTCACAGAACTATAATAAAACTTTAAAACATTTTCTTAAAAATTATGACATAAAAGACATTGAAAAAGTTTTTTTCTCTTAGTAGACGACATATACGATACTTGAAATGTATTTTTCTCATAGAAGACGACATGAGCAAAATTTGAAAAAGTTTATATCGTTTAATGTAATCGTGTAATCGATTACAATGTAATTGATTATTAGGTCGTGTAAGAAATTGATAGTATCCAATGACACAAAGGTAGACAGAAAAGTAGACCAAATATAACTCTATCATAATTAATTTTAACGATGTCTTATCAGTAAGTAGATGGCTGTGTGGATCGTATATTTCCCAGCATAGACCTAAAAATATGTGATAAAAAAGAGAAAAATTATCATCTTCACGTAGAATCTTTGGAATGTTTATATGTCATGTTAAACCTGTGAAGTTGGACATGAAAGACTAATGAATTCACTTAGTAATGTCTTATTTATGCCTTTCGTCACAAAAAGAAGAATAATTGCTTCTTGTCTTCTGTAACTTAAGATTGGTTTTGACTTTATTTTAATCAAAAATTCGCTTCATCAAAGTATGGAAATAGTTACTAACATTCGTCTTCTGTAACTTAAGATTGGTTTTGTTGAAAATCTAAAGTATTCTGTAAACATTAACAAATTGTAAAAATACGCGACAATGCAACTTAAAACACGAAGAGCCTTCCTCTGTAAATTTTCCTATAATCTGCCGACAGCTAGTTTTCATAGTTCGAACCTAGTTCCCTCAGAGCAACGCTTTATTTCATAATCATCATCAGACGTGTTTAGTTGTGGCATGAGACTCCAAGTTTTCAAACAAACAAACAACTAAAATATCGTATATAAATAATTTTATTTATTTCATTAATTACATATTTACAATCTTACGTAAAAACTTTTATTATCTTTGATTTACTCACTATTTACAAGAATATATATATAAAATATTGTTCATCTATGAATTTTTAGTCGCTTGTTTCATTACTCTTGAAACAGCAAAAAAATAATCTTCTAAAAAATCCCCTTCTTTTCTTTAACTTTCTGCCATTTGGTGGTGTTGTCAGTGAAAGATTGTCATGAAGTGATTCAGTAAAATTTTCGTTCAGATTTCCACTTCTGATGCTATGGTGACAATTATCATCTTTGGAATATATCTGATTAATTTTGATTTCTTGAGAATCATCAACTGTGGTGGATTTTGAATGCTTATCATGAACATTAAATAGAAGATCACTTTTAATTAGGCATTCACCTTGGTCAACATCATCTAGAGTAAGATGGGCTTGAATAATCTCGTTATCCCCAACAGTACTTGGGTCTTTTGTGATTTCACTAACAATAGTAGTTGGTAAGTCTTTGCTGATTTCATTATCAACTTGAGTAGGTAAGTCTTCGGTGATTTCACCAACAACTTGAGTAGGTAAGTCTTCAGTGATTTCACCAACAACTTGAGTAGGTGAATCTTTGATGATTTCACCAACAACTTGAGTAGGTAAGTCTTTGGTGATTTCACCATCAACTAGAGTAGGTAAGTCTTCAGTAATTTCACCAACAACTTGAGTAGGTAAGTCTTCAGTGATTTCACCAACAACTTGAGTAAGTAAGTCTTCGGTGATTTCACCATCAAATTGAGTGGATAAGTCTTTGGTGATTTCACCAACAACTTGAGTAGGTAAGTCTTCAGTGATTTCACCAACAACTTGAGTAGGTAAGTCTTTGGTGATTTCACCATCAACTAGAGTAGGTAAGTCTTTCATGATTTCACCAACAACTTGAGTAGGTAAGTCTTCGGTGATTTCACCATCAACTTGAGTGGATAAGTCTTCAGTGATTTCACCAACAATTTGAGTAGGTAAGTCTTTGGTGATTTCAATATCAACTTGAGTGAATAAGTCTTTGGTGATTTCAACATCAACTTGAGTAAGTAAGTCTTCAGTGATTTCACCATCAACTTGAATGGATAAATCTTTGATGATTTCACCATTAACTTGAGTAGGTAAGTCTTTGGTGATTTCACCATCAACTAGAGCAGGTAAGTCTTCCGTGATTTCACCATCAACTTGAGTGGATAAGTCTTTGGTGATTTCACCATCAACTAGAGTAGGTAAGTCATTGGCGATTTCACCATCAACTAGAGTAGGTAAGTGTTTGATGATTTCCCCATTAACTTGAGTAGGTAAGTCTTTGGTGATTTCACCAACAAGTAGAGTAGATATGTCTTGAGTGATTTCACCATCAACTAGAGTAGGAAAGTCTTCGGTGATTTCACCATTAACTAGAGTAGGTAAGTCTTCAGTGATTTCCCCAAAAAATTGAGTAGATATGTCTTCAGTGATTTCACCATCAACTAGAGTAGGTAAGTCTTTGGTGACTTCAACATCAACTAGAGTAGATAAGTCTTCAGTGATTTCACCAACAACTAGAGTAGATAAGTATTTGTTGATTTTACCATCAACTTCAGTAGGTAAGTCTTCAGTGATTTCACAAACAACTTGAGTAGGTAAGTCTTCAGTGATTTCACCAACAGCTAGAGTAGATACGTCTTCTTTGATTTCACCAACAGCTTGAGTAGGTATGTCTTTGGTGATTTTACCATCATCACCAGGATGCTGAGGTTGGAAAATCTGCTCACCACCATCTACTGTTTGTGTTTGAATGATGTCTAAACCACCAACAGTAAGTTGATCTGGCTCATCATCATCATCATCACCAAGCACAACCAAGTTCTCAGCAAAGTCCTTCAATGCAATATTGACCAAGTCAACCTGCTTTAGCATTTCATCAACAGCTTCCGCAACTATTTCATCATACACGATTGAAATGGCGTTTTCAGTCGCTTGTTGTTGAATGACAGCTGTGGTTCCTTCAATGGACTTGTTGACTGCTGTTGCTTCATTTTGTTCAACTTTAACTGAACTTTCTTCAACAGTTGTTCCAACGCCAAAGTCTTCACAGCATAATGCTAAATATTCAACTTCTAAAAGAAAAGAAAATGAACAAAAGTGAGCAAATTCCCGTTTTCAAAAGGTTTTCATTGAGCGAAGAAAATCTTTAATTTTTATTGAAAATGTTTTTCGCCTTAAAGACGAACATCGATATTTTTCGCCGTGTGAGCTAGCGAATCATCTTTGAATTGAAAATCTCAGATCATCCTTGAATATTTTTTTCACACAATAATTCGCCGTCTTCTTCCCCACGTTTTTAAAGATTTTGTTTTTTGTTTTGATTTGAAATAACTCTTTGAACATTCAAATCTGTCATTTAAAGTTTTGAATTCCAATTCTCCATATTTGTTTTATTGTAACCTAGCAACACTAAAAATTTGAATAATTTTACGCAAATTATGCATAATCCACATCAACTAATCTCGCTCAATCCCGCCTCACTTAATCTAATTCCATGGTCGCAATCTTGGGTCTCATGAAGTCGTTGCATACAACAAGCCAATTATAATTTTCCCAATCAATGATCAAATGTGATGCGCGCGCACATGGTAGCGTGGCAACAAATTAATTATCTCAGCTAATGGATCCAAGTTTCTTAGCAACCAAAATAAACAAAAAAATTTTTTTACTACCACGAAAAAAAAATAATTTCTCAAAAATCAAAAGATAGTTTGGAGAGTACCTGCACTCTGGTCGTAAAATGATCTTTCGAGCAGTTCAATACGACGTTTTGCAATAGAGGCCCTTTTTTTTGCAATGTCCAAAATTTCTTCCATATTCTTCGCTGATCCGTAATGACCAGTGGCCACAAGTTGTTCAACAACTTTTAATGAAGTTTCTTCGTAAAGAAAGATGTCGTTTAATTGAACATTATCCATTGCAATATATTTTAGTTCGCTAATGAAGTAATTTTCACTTTTTTTAGTAGTACGAATCTGTGCACAAAGCAAGTCAATCGCAAATGACGATGAATTGATGACATCACATAGCTTTATACCAGAGGGTGCGCAAAGGATTATGGGCTATAAATTACACGCGAAAAAACCAGGAAAACTGCTTAAAAACCGATTTTGATTGATGTACCAATCCCCAATATTCTGCAACATCCTACATTTTTTCTAAACTTTTTTGCAAAATGGAGAAAAAACTACCATTTTCCTATTTTTTCTTGTCCGAAGAACGAAGGTCCATTAATGTATCACGTCTTTCAGGAAATAAATGTATAGTTATATATAGTTATAATATTTCATAGATATAATATTTCAGTTAGTCGAGGTAAATAATAAAATAATTATTGAATTAGGCTTTCGTACGATATCAAGAATTGTTCTGACTTACTAAATAATTTTTGATATCATGCTCAACCTCATCAATAAATGCTTAATGTGTGTTCCCAAGGGAAATAGTAAGTTTTGTTTTCCAAGTGTCTCAAAAGAGAACGGAGGAAAATTCCCACGAGAGACATTACATGAAAAAATTGTAAAATTGGCACCCTCCCTAACCCTTCCCCCTTTGAGCTATCATGAACAAAAACCAAAACGACGCCCATCTCGAGGAATAGTTGTAAATGAAAGTGAAAAAATCTCATTGAGTTGACAATTACCGAGTTTTTAAGAGTGATGTATGGATCATCGTCATTATTCAGAAAGTACGTCAGTCCAGCCATTCCTGCACCTGTCAGGACAACACCTACAGATCAACACAACACTACATAAGTATATGTCTGCCTTATTTTTTATCTGTGAGGCCAAAATTTATAGCGATTAGTAAAATGAGTAGGACAAGGAGTGAGGTATCACAAATGGCATAGCTAGTCTGCAAGTTTTGGTCTCGCTATGTAAATTTCAAATCATTCTCGTTGTTCCTTCCTTTAGAAATGCATTGCCTTTGTGCAGTGAACACCTAAATATTTACATATCAACACCAAACTTGCAGACTGGCTAAGCTACTGTGCATGAAATTGAACATTCAGGCTTAATTATTTCACGAGTCAAGTATAAGGTACAGCATCGTGGTAGTCAATAACCTATGTCAAACTTAAGCTAAACTATAACAACCCTTCACTGTAGCCAAAGGGACTTAGGTGAGACTAACTCGTGTTTTAACACACTAGTAAATCCCATGCCAAAAATTCAAAACTTTTTATTTAATTATGAACCCAAAACTTTGAATGAAACCACCTTCTCCTTCGTCATCATAATTATCAAAATCGTATTCTTGAAGGATGGTATTTTCCTCATTGTCAGAGTTATCAGACTGTTCTTGATCACGGTACTGTAAGTTGGATATTTCTGTGTTCAGCTTGTCTTCATTGTATTCATCACCTTCTTTTGCTCTAAAATTAAAAATTAATCAGGTATGTTAGGGTAGTACTACATAGGTAAGCTTCTACAATCCTTTACCTGTTAATATTTTAGCCTCCCAAATCTGAAGAGGAATAATTCAATTCAATCAATAAGATCTTAATAACCGAGGGTGAGGTCTTTACCAAGAAACACCAGACCAAGGTGTTTTTATACAGACCACGCCAGTGGCGCAAAGTTTGTACAAAGACAAAGGTAGAGGTAAGAGCAGTAGTGAACTTCAAGGTTAGAACAGAGATTGAAATCAGAAGATTGCTGATCATAAGGATAGAGCAGTAATGAGAAGGACTGTTGGGGTGAGTTATGACTGAGAGCATGGGTATAGGACAAGGTCTGAAATTTGCAGTATCCAAATTTACACAGGGTAATGGGGATTCTGTTTTGGATACAAAGTTTATTTTACTTGTGTCCCAATGGGATACCACAAAACAGGGATAGTAATAAATGTATCACCTCTAATTTTTTCATAAAATAGTGCAGCTACACATGTCTAGCATAATAGCATTCATATTTTGTAATAATTTGTCTCCACTAATGGATGAATTTTCAAGTTGACATTCTGAACAGTGTCTTCACATTGAAAAAACTTTCCCGACTTCAATGAAAGAAATTTTGAGGTATTTTAAAAGGAACTACTACAATAAATATAAAATGAGAGTAACCCTAAGGGTTGTGTTATTTTTGACCCAGGGCTTATGCAAACCAATTAGTAATGTATTCAAATTTCGGATACTAGATTAATAGGAGGATACCGAATTCTAAAACCTTGGTATTAATGTACATACTCAAAAAAGATTTAAATTACACCCTGTAGGAAGATTGATAAATGGGGGACAGCTCATATTCATATATGCATGGTATTCAGGATTAAGGTCCTTTGAAATGCATTGTTTTCAACATGAGCCCCCTGCCTGCCCCCGCGATCTCCCTATACTCATGGAAAGTGAAGATGATTAGAGCAAAGGATGCCAAAAAATCAATGAACACTAAAATTAACAGTACTCAGAACGGGCAGTAACCTGGTCAATCAACACACACAAACATTAAACGTTACTCTCACCAGGTCTAACCCATTCACACAAAGTTAAAACATAAACCACATACTTTATTTTGTCTATTGTCTCATTAATAAGCTGCTCCAATTCTCCCTGTGATAGTTCAACCTGAAAACATATTGATTGCAGTAAAGAATATAGTAAAACAACAGTTCAAAAAGAAAATAACAAGTAATCACCTTATCTGGCACAGTTTTGGCCACACCACGGCTGAACCATGTAATACATGTCACCATTGACGGCATTTCCCTCTCAAATCAGTTTCTCGCGCTTTCAAAATCTGTTAAAACTCAACTTTTCTCTTGGCATGCACGTGAGAAGTATATTTGGAACAACATTTACGTAAAAAGTCTTTATACACTTGCTTCTATTTTTCTGAACCATATGCGCCATATTGTCATTCTTCCATTCTTCACGTGTGTTCATAATTGAAGTAAAATACACTGGAGCGATATGTCAGGGGGGTACTCCATCATACAATCGAAGAAATCAAATTTATTCTATTTTTAACATAAATTGGCACTGTTGTTTGCAATGATGGAAGCAACAAGAACAAATTATTTGTATTCCGTTTACACAGACGGTAAATTGGGCATGATAACAACTAAAATAATATACATGATTTTAATAGTACCCAAAGACCTAGAAGTAGAATAGTACGATTTCGTATTACAATATGGCACTCAAATGCTAAAATTTGACAATATACTAACTGCTTGGTCTAAAACTTTTTGCGCAAACTATATTCGGCACAGTATTAAGCTTCCCGAAGACAAATTAAATAAAATCAGGATTTCTCATTTTGTTCTCTTACTCTCTCTCTCGCCATACTTCTACACTCACTCTCTACCTTAACACACTCTCTCTAACTCTGCGCTCATCCCCCTCTACCAAAATATTCCTCTTCATCTCTCCATGTAGGATTATCTTTGCATGGTTTAGGTTCAGAAAACCATAGTTCATCGTTTTGCCAAACCATGTAATTCATGTTCGGTTTAAATTGACAGTTGTATACGACTTTCGGAATTTTATACTGTGTAATATTATCTTCTCTCTCATAAACACTCCAGTACAGCCTCATTTGATCAGGGTAACTTTGATGAAGACCAAGAATTGAATGGCAAATTTCGTTTCTCTTTTCCACAATCTCATCTGAACTAAAGTCATTTGATGAAGAACGCAGATGAACTAATCTGCCGTTGTCGGTAAATGTTGTCAAATTTGAGATAGCTTTCAACCAATAGCCAACAGACTGACTTTCCCAAACGTGGCACGTCAAATTTTCTTTCCTTTTTAAAAACGATTCAACAATGTCAAAAGTCAAAAGAAGAAATGACTCGTCCAGGAATGCCGCATCTAAAAATGGAACAAAACTTAATGACTATAACAGCAAGAAAAATTTGTCAACACGCACATGTTCAATCGTTCACAAATAAATATATACACTACCCAAATAGTTACAAATCAATGTTGCATGTCTCAACGACTGTGTTTGGAGGCTGGTTGTGGTCATTTTTGTGGTTAGTGCTCATGAGTACACTGCACTTCCTATACAAGCGTAGAAATTGAAGGTGCCCCTTTTGGAGGAATGTCATGGCGTACTCCTTATTATCGCTTCTAAAGCAATGCCCACTTTGCCCCTACTGACCCCCTACTTGCGACGTTTATAGAGACATCCTCGCAAATTTAACACAAAATTCATTGCTATTTTGAATGAAAACCATTTTTATTAGATAAATACTATATCGTCATTTGTCGTCCAAACGCTTTAAGAAGAGTAAAATCGTCGTTCACAAATAAATCGAAAGAAATTTTATTCTGTAAATGAACAGAGTCAACAGAGTGATGATCAAATGAGTTTAAAATGTCAAAGCAAAACTTCCCTGTTAGTTAATCAGATGAGTTTTCCTGGTAAAATTTATAATTCGTCTAAAACTCTTGTTCACAGTTGTGGTGCAGTAGCTATGAAGCCGAAATATTTATAGTTGTATAATTATAATATGTGCGTGTCAGTCTATTCCAAGGTCATGTTGTGGTTATCAAATTGATACATACTCTTCCATAGTAGGCTCTACTACAACTCTCAGTTCGGTACTTTTCTTGGCTTTCACATTACACATAGGTACATATTTAAAAACGAAAATCATTTAAGATGCTCAAGCAGTTATACTACATGAAACATTTCTTGGCTGTGGGACTGTAAAGTCACTATTGAGAGCTTTTACTTTATTGTCTACTTGTAATCTACTTGTAACATTAAATGTACTCTTGTCCACCATGCGTTCAATAAAATATTCGTGCCGTTAAAAGTTCCGATGATAACATGAAAGCACATTGCTTTTCTAACCGAGTGAATCGCCTCGATGCAAATCAGCAACCGTTGATCAAGCCACATTATTTTTATTATTACAAAATGTACTTTTGTCCACCATGTGTGATGCGGTCAATTAAATATTCCTGTCATTAAAACAGCCGATAATGACATGCATGAAAGCACATTGCTTTTCGAACCGACTGAATCGCATTGACGCAAATCAGCAGCCGTTAAAAAACATACTATCAGGGGCGGATCTAGAGTTTGTCAAATCAGTCGCGCGACTGATGTTTGAATTTCAAAAATTACCTATACATATTAATTAAAAATTCATTAATTATTCTTACTTTATTATCGCATTTACTTCGTGATAAAAATCCAGCTTTATTTATTATTGAAAACTAATGACTAATGCAATGAATATCTCGTTGGTTATGGGGCGCCATCTGTGGTTTTATTATTTAACCGCATAACATTGTGATTTTCCCTGATTTATTAAATAACCAATTTCTTATGTTGGTTATTTAATAAATAACCACTTTATGAAAACATCGAAAATTGGTTATTTATAAATAACCATTTTTTCGCGTACGCAGAAACTGGTTATTTAATAAATAACCAATTTTCGGCGTGTGTAGAAAATGGTTATTTAATAAATAACCAATTTTCGGCGTGTGTAGAAACTGGTTATTTAATAAATAACCAATTTTCGATGTTTTCATAAAGTGGTTATTTATTAAATAATCAAAATAAGAAATTGGTTATTTAATAAATCAGGGAAAATCACAGTGTTATGCGGTTAAATAATAAAACCACAGATGGCGCCCCATAGTTGGTAACCAGATCAGTTGAATTTTAATTGACCTGGAATAACCGACTGATAAGCGGGCTGGCTTGACCAGAGCCCTCTATTACTAATAGAGGGCTCTGGGCTTGACTGGTTCGACTGATAAAGGAGTCTATGAACGCCAAAACACTTATTTCATTGGTCAATAGCCAGATCAGTGGACGATCTGGAATAATCTCGACCGATAAGCAGGGTGGCCGGACCTATAAGGGAGTCCACTTGCTATCGTGTAATTGGTTCGTTTAAATTTTTGTCTTACTGTGATTGGTTTGACCGATTTCGACTGATAGCCAACTGAACTAACATAGTCAAGCTCACTGTCTGAATTGAATGTTTGATCGTTTCATAGTAATTTTCTAAAGCGTGATAGAAACTAAACTACAATCAGATGGAATTTATGGATATCTTTTACAAATTCATATATTGACATGAATGCTGCTTTCCAAACAGGGAATTTTTTCAAGAGGCGAAAAATTTATGGATGAATTGTAAATGCTTGGCAAAGACGATCTCGCGAGCGACATTTCAGTCATTGATGTTCAAAAGAAAGCCAACATTGTTTTGAGTTTTATCAGCAGAAATTTACATCCAAAATCGTAAGTAAAAAACAACTGAAGTGTATGCATGAATGTAATATATCAAAGTCAATTTACGCGAGTGTGTGATGCGATTTATGTTAATATGGCGTATGGTAAGCAGATTGATGCTTCTAAAATTGTTGTTCCCGAAGGACTTTTAGCTATGATTTCTTTAGTGCTTGGGGAATCGTGGCCGTTATATGGCAGCGAAATCCTACATTCCTGCAAATATATTTCAATGGACAACAAATCTGTAGCCATAAGGCGCCATGCTATTATTTACTTTATCATAAACAAACGTTTGGTGCTTTTCAGTTTATGATCATTGATCATTCAATCATTGGACAGTTATACTACATATTGTTTAAAGTGGTTATATCACGAATTTTAGCCCCCCTTTTTTTGAGCTTAATTGAAAATTTGAATTATTTGAAGAACTATGACATGTCGCTGGACTTAAACAGATAAATATAAGTTCCTTAATTTTGCCTCCAAAGTCGGGTACTATTTGCGAATTTTTTACGACGCCATATTGATACTTGTGACGTAGATAGTTGAACACGTCTGTTTCCGTCAATATAATATTATATTATAGAAGGTGATTTTGTTGTCGTTTTTCTTGTCTTAAAAACAAATAATGACAGTATTTTCAATAAAATATTAAAAAACAAGTTTTCCGGAAAGTATGGCCTCAAATCAGTGCTCAGATAATTCGAATTCGATGTCTGAATGCGTATCTGATTCGAGCTCGGAATCCGTGGGTTATGTCGAGCATTTAAACGACTTTGCATATGACGATGAACCGCTAGCAGGAGATGGTGATGAAGTGCATACTCCAGATGATCCCGATGGAATTCTCCCTGCGACATTAGAACAACGAAGTGATGGCGTAATTCCACTTGGTGAATGGTAAGTTGTTGTTTTCTCCTGTTTGTAATATACATAAAGTTACTTTATAAACCAGAATGCTCCCACGTTTCAGGTGTAATTGTCAATGCTGTCATACCGATTTGTTAGAAGGCGCATTAGAGTACAGATGCTGTAAGGAAATTGGACCAGCTTTGCAGAAAATGACATTCGATGGCAGCATTGAGAAAATATCATGCATAACACAGCATGCCAAATTTGGGCCTTTAGTTCATGAGGCTGTCCTTGAAAACGTCGGGCCACTATTGAGAGATAGGAATGGACGTGCTTATCGCCGCCAAGCATCACAATCATTAAATATGTAAGATGGTAAATTGTATGAGAAACAATGTTATAATCAACATTGTTTCATCAACAATAATTAGTCCAACCTTTTTATTTACTTCAGGTACTTGAGAGCTGTGGCATACAGATGGTTGATCCGATGGTTTTGTGGGTCTATGGGATGAGAGAATACTCGGCCTTTACCTGCTTGTGTTTACCACTTTATTCGGAAAGCATATCCAAGTGGTAACACAACAGGTTACATACCATCAGAGGGAATGGTGGAATGGCGATGATGGAATAGTCTTCTAACTTGTGCACTGTAGAGACTGTTGACCTTCTTTGCTGAGTTTGGAATGGTCAGGAAATATGCCTAGATGAAAACCAAATAGGAGATACATGGATGCACTATATAAGTTGACATGCAGTTTAATGGTTTGAAACAAGAGTAAACAATAAAAACAAATTGGTGCAACTACTGAGAGGTTAAGCTGAAAGAATTAAATGAAAGAATATCTTTTCTTCAATGTCAGTCTGGGAAAAAAGACAAAAGAAAAAATATATGGAATTGAATCATAGCATAAATGTAAAAATGGAAAATAGCAAGCTGTTCAAATGGCGAATCGTTTGCTTCCCCAGTGCATACTTAAACATGCTCAGCTTCATCACTAGTAGATGGTACTTCCTCATTGAGAGAACATGTTTCCTTCAGCGATGGCTTATGGAGAGTATGTCGAATAATCTACAAAACTTATATCGAATTTACATATGACAAAAGAAAAATTAACATAAACAAGCGTAAACTTACTTGTCTTCGCTTTCGATCGGTTATTTCGTCCTGTAATGGTTCAGGAATCCCAGCCACGTCAATGGTTGGGATAGCATCTTTCTTCAACCTTCTTTTGAGCTTGACTTACACGCTCAAATTAAGGTCAAAACAAGAATCTTCAAAATGCGCAGAACACAGAGACGAGGTAGAGGAAGCCTCAAAACCCGGTCTATGTTTACGCACAAAATTTACCCATTTTCTATGTCTTTGCGGCTCTGTTTCTTTTTTAGGAAACAGATGCATCGACATTCCTTCGGTTTTTGAATCATTGGCGCAACTAATTTCATTAGGTCCGCCAGCAACACAGCGTTTTCCTCCGCGTTTCTTATTAAGATTACTAGTAGAATACGCCACGTTGATATATGTGTTCAACTTTTACGTCACAAGTCATTAGCATACCGATCAAAAAGTTCGCAAAAAAAAATGCTGAAAATCGTGACTTTGAACGTCCGTAAAATCACTTTCACCAATCCAATTTCAATTATAATTGCAGATTTAAAATCACTGAAACAAGGTCTTTCAATTTAGCTAATAAAAAAGGGGGGCTAAAATTCGTGATATAACCACTTTAAGATTTGAGAAAACTAACATTGATTACATGAGAAGCAGTTTACTATAACCTGTGATTTTGAGTCTTCTGATCCATGAAGCTTTTTATTTTGACAATTTGACTGGAATGGTATTAAACCTTAGTATTTCACATACATGAAATGTTGTCCCATGTCACATATTGTCCCCTTTTCTAACTGAACACCTCATGTAGAGATGTAAAGGTGTGTGAACACCTCATGTAAAGATGTAAAGGGCTATTGATGTATGAAAAGCATTTTCTATAAAGTAAAAATGTCTTCCTATGTATGCAGATAAACCTTGAAATTTGGCAAAGCAGCAAAGTATTTTTCATGATCACTAGGTAATTTTTCTGATGATCATTATAATTTCTAAACGAAATTATTTCAGATTTACATTTAAACAAGCTTTGATCATATGAAAAGATATTTATCATAACCAGTAAGCATGACACATGAACCAATTTTAACATTCATGTAATTATATAATTAAAGACATGTTGGTTACATTCTGTTTGTATTTGATAATACAATGCTACTAGTGATTTCTATATAGCACACCTTGCAGAAGATAATAGCCAAGTGAAATGCCTAATAAACATTTATGGCATTAAGCTGTCCTTAACTGCAAATTTTCACTCTGATAATTTTTGCTTAATCTTTGGCAGAAAAAAATTTTGAGTTTTTTCTCAAAATGTGAATTTGCTGGCACTGATGTGGAGATGGGTAAAGGGTTACAATAAACTTGCATGGTTTGAAGTCTGAGCTTTTCTCTATCTATGAACTGTCACTTGTCGTACCAAATTTCTAACAAAACTCATTACATAGAGGTTTGAGTGGTGGTCTCTAGGGGGGTCTATGCCTGACAACTTGGTAGAAATTTTTAAAGACTATATCTGTTTTTGAATAGCATTATTGTAAAATAAATTTTACGTTCCTAGAAATGCTAATGAGCCATATATTTGGCATGATAATGAGCCTAAATATTTGGCAAAACATTCAAGTATTGTTCACTTCATTTTTTTTTTGAAAAAAACGTAAGCAAAATGTGTTGTTTTCACGCAAAAACGATGCCCACAAAATACATTTTGTAATGCTCTAAAACGCTGAAATTCAAAATTTCTCAGGGGAGAATGCCTCAGACCCCCCCCAGGTGCGGAGCGCATCCGACGTTTTATGACTGATGTTTGAAAAATCCTAGATCCGCCCCTGCATACTGTGTATTAGCATTCTTCTCGAATTTTCTTTCTGTCCGTTACAATTGTTTATCAATAGAAAAAAACATGCGTGCGCAACTTAACATTTTTATTATTCACTCCTCCACATTAAAAAACTTTTAAATTGCGACGTCATTCCCGGGAAAAGTTTTAACAGACGCACGCCAAATCGAGATTTTACAATTATATAGGTCGCGTAAAAAGACTGGGCCTAGTGAATTGACTGTCAAGAATTGACTCGCTAACGCTCGGCATCAATAACTACATTGATAGCAAATCAAGTATACAACAGAAAAAAAACGCTAATACTTTTAAACGAACACGCTTCATACCTTTTCCATTGCAGTGCAGCCATCCCCATTGAAAGCTGTGTTTTGGTCTTTTATTACTCGCTAATTCCAACATTAACTTATTCAAACAAATAAAATAGTCATCATCAAGTCGTAAATAATATTTGAAATCGTAGTTATGAGTTGCCCATTGAAGTATCCACAGTAGCTTTACCGCAAATGTATACCCACCAGGAGTTTCTGTACGAACAAGATCTCCATGTAACTGACTTTCATTATCAAGTTTCTCTTTTTGTTCACCCTGAATCAAATTACCACTTGGATCTTTACCGTCAGTGAAATACTTACAAACAACATCAGATCGTTTGTTGCATTCTTTAATCCATGTATCGCGTCCTGCCGCTCTTCGTTTATTGCGAGACGGGCCGCTAATAATACCAATAAATAAAAGCAAATTTGGCTTCGACGGAGTCGATTCTGGAATATTAATATTGATGTCTTTGAACTGATTTAGTTCGAATACCATGTTACTATTCACAATATATTTATCAAACTCATACTTGAAAAGAATGAAAACTGAGCTAACGAGCCCCAAAATTAAGATAATAAAAAGCAATCCTTTTTTTGAGACCATTTTTCATTGCCCGTTCACGAAGTATACACACCCTATACTAAATATAAATTAAATCAAAGTAATACTTACATATATGATGTGGGTAATATATGCTGTGCGAAAATTGAAGGCAGCCTTTTGCTCATTTGCATATGCCTTTAACTTCATCGTATATCTTTCTGTCCATTTCAAAGAGCATTTCATGATGTTTTTGTCTGTGTCGAAAATGATGAACACGAAAATGTGATTTTGTAATAAAAAAGTAATGGAGCGAATTTCTGGCTTCAATTTTTGTTCTATATTCATACGAGTTACTTGAATACGTTGTCCAGTTTAAAAAATGTAGATGATGGCACTAGAACGCTAATTGGGAGTGGGATATCGCTGTGTGAATGTTAACGTTCATATATTCAGCGGCTGAATACGTTTCAGACATAACGTATTGCATTGATCGTTTTAGATTGTATAGTCACAATTAACACATTCTATTGATCAGCTTAGATATTAAAGATCAGACGTTGCAAAAAAGTACTTATTGATGACTTACACACTGACATTCCTAGCAAGGAAACATGTTGCCATAGAGAGTGGTCCTTAGCAATATAAGTATACGGTCGGATGCAGTCAAATTTTAATTGGATGAAATTAAAAAATTCACGGATTGTTTTGATAGTCAGCAAATAATGACATGCTTGCAATGAGAGGCTACGTTTCATATTAGCGTAGTTATGGCGCCTGACATGACGTTGCAAAAAATTACTTACACAGAGAGAAGTTTCAAGTAAAAACTCACCGGGGCAAAGAACACACGAAACAATTTGTCTCTAAACTATTTCTTTGCTGAGTCCAGCAATAGTGGCGTTGACAGCCCACTTATTTTGTTTTAATATCTTAAAAATATTTTGTCTTCTTTCAACAATGCCAAAATATCATGTGTGCCAAAATAGTATAACAGATGGAAACTTTTCAATGCACTAGTAAAGCCTGGTTCCTATATAGTCGTCTGAGTTGTTTCAGTCGTGCCAAAATTTCACAGACGACCCGTGCATTGGATGAGAACATTTAAAAGGCGACCGGGATGACCTCAAATAACTCACACGACTGAAACGACTAGAGTCGCTTGGATAGAACTTTGCTCCATCCGGACGACCGAAACGACCGTTGAGAAATGCAAGCGACCTATTTATAGCGCAAAACAATTTGAAAAAGCAAATAACTAGTACAAACACTTCGTCTTTGATAAACAGTAGTTGCCATTTTAAAATGTTTTGCGCAAAGATTAATTAAGCAGTCTTTCTGCAGGGCTAGTACGAAAATATGAGAATTACATAGCTTGAGTTGTCCCAGTCGTTTTGAAAAACAATGAAACAACCAGGAGCGAATCGAACGACTCAAGCGACTAGTGAGAACCAGGCTTAAGAAGGGGGAATTTAATTTTTTACAGTTTATTAATTGCAATAATTTATTCAACAGTTCAAGAATTGTTAGCCGTCAAATTTTTGCATCATTTCCTCAGCAGTTATGTCAATAAAGTTTGGTTTTTCATCATTTGATGGTATATCTTTAATTGAATGCTTTTTTCATCATTTCGAAATAGAATCAAGCGAAAGAGCTCACTATTGTACTACTGGATGAGAGAACATTACCACAACAGCGAAAGGCAGGTCCGCCAAAACCTGTGAGGCCAGCGAGGAATTTTAATTATTTATTATCTTAAATCATTTTGACATAAAACTTCGTCTTTATTTGATCTTACTTGCATTGTATATATATTTTATTAATAGCCCGACGAAGAAACGCCTAAAGATAATGAACTTGTGCTAAACATGTACACGTAGCAAATACAGTATTCTTAATAGTATTCATTTATAATCGTTAATTGTATTATCATTTTCTTTTGTAATCATATATACCCTATCTCTAGGAAAGTATGATCTGCGTGGACAAAAAACCCGCAAATGTATCGCAAGTATTTAAATTATCTGATAAAAATTTTTTCTCGTTGCTATAGCCCATTTTCAAGGCAACAACGTCGTCAATTGTCAAAAATCACTTTGAAATAAAACTTTGTTTTAGTTTATTCTTAACAGGATTTTATCAACGTTTTATCCATAGCGGACCAAAAGAAACGTTAGCTATAAGTAATTGACGTATGCTAACCATACATCTGCGCATGTTTTTCTACATATAGTAGTTTCCAACCACAATTCTGGCTTGCGTGGTCACAAAGCTCGCAAATGTGTGGTAAATACGTCGCTTGATGTAATCAAATCATGTTATACATACTGGCATCAGTTAATTTTTACCAAATTTATCATCGTGCAGGTTTCTTTTTAGAATGCAATGATAAAAAGCAAGGCCACACAAAAATGAGTGCACTCCCCGTGGAACCCACGCAAAAAAGCGTTGACAGTTCATAGATTTTGTAAATAAGTCTGAGACCTTTGGTCATAAGCTTTCAAATTTTGGTTATTTCAACATATTCGTTTGCAGGCTTATTTATTAGTGTAGCCACCCCCACTGAAAGCTGCGTTTCGGTCCTTCATCACTCGCCAATTCCAACATCAACTTATTCAAACAAACAAACAAATAAAATAGTCATCATCAAGTCGTAAATAATATTTGAAATCGTAGTTATCAGTTGCTCACTGAAGTATCCACAGTAGCTTTACCGAAAATATAAACTCACCTGGAGTTTCTGTACGAACAAGATCTCCATGTAACTCAATTTCATGATCAAGTTTCTTTTTTCTTCACCTTGAATCAAATTACCACTTGGATCTTTACCGTCAGCGAAATACTTACAAGTAACAAACAACATCAGGTAGTCATCTTCAGAGTCAAATGAAGACTCTGACTTTAACTCTGAAGATAACTATCGCTAAGGTTGTCGAAACGTCAGTCAACATCAACAACAGTTCTTTTCAGGACTCTACTAACCTTGATGATCTACACCCACAAACACTAAATCTCATTGTCACGGTAAAAACTTTTGGGCCTCTTTGCGCGGGTCGTCGTTCATGATCATTTACCAAAAAAAACAGAAATTGCTGCTGTGTTTTTATTCTTTGAATTGTTTTCAGAACATTTGAAATCTTTGTTTACTAGCAACTGTCGCCATGTGTCTTTTATATTCTTTCACTGTTTTTCAGCAAATTAAGTTCAAGTTTTTACAGTGCAATTACACATTTTCACAGTGTAATTACATATAAACTGCCCTGCAATGAACCAATCACAAAATGTCTCGAAGCATGTATTGCTACAAAATATAAAATAAGTGAAATGAAACTTGTGGGTAACAGGTGACAAGCATCGTAATTCGTGAGCAAGCATATATAATAACCAAAAACATTTCAGAAAGATCGGCATTCTGTCACCGGAAGTGACGCTTTCGACACAGTAGGTGTTAAAAAAATGAACACACAGATTTATGCATGCATGCCAATGACCTAAAACCCAATCTACTAGATATCAGACTCCGCCTAAATTCTATAGTTACGAGTGAGGCAAGCCGCCATCTTGAAAGGTGGCAAATCTGACGATATTTTAGGCTAATATTTGCTTTTCTTGAGTTGATAGACAGTTGCAAAGTTGATAGTCTAAGTTTGATATTGACAATGTTTGAAAGGATTGGGTTTTCACACTTTTTTAGCTTATTTTTCATTTTTCATTTTGCTTTTTGCCAGCTTTCAAGATAGCGTCCTTATCTCACCTTGACACGGTAGTTAGACATCAAGGGGGTTGGGTTCTAAATCATTAATGCATATGGAATTAATTTGCTGCACAAACGAAACAGTATTTGATGAATTTCAAATAGGTTCAATGTATTTACAGATCTCTATATGTTTCCATGGGAACGAAGACATGTCAATACATGAAACTAATTTTTGTTTCATGAAAGTACTGTTTAATTTACGCAGCAAAATAATTCAATATGAATGCATAAGTGTGCGTGTTTCGTTTTCTTTTGAGATACAATGCATGTTAAATCTATGTATTTAGGTCAAGGTAAAAGACAAAGTGATTGTCTAATAGATTAAGACATGGATAACAGTATAAGCCAGCAAATGACGTTAAAAATCACCCACTTTCAAAACATTTGTGTTCTACTAAAATCTCTTTATACATTTCAAATATTCACATCCATACACTATTGTACTTTTATTGAACAATGGTACATTTGCATATACTACAAATGATATACTAAAAAAAAGTGAAAATGGGCTGGCCTAAATTTATCTGCTATGCAAAATTTTTTCTGTTCATTTTCACAAAAACGGTCATTGAGATCATATTTTTAAAGAAATCAATGTTAGTTTTGACAAAAAAATTGCAAGACATGAGTCAAGATTCAGGCTGGATTCTTCACTGACTGTAAATGGGATATAAATCAATTGTTTACAGATATATTTTAAATTGAAAGTGAAAGTACCCAGAGGTATAAATTATATATAAAATTATACATACAGTGCTCGTAGTGTCGTCACTTCACTTCATTTTGTTCTGCTACGCAATTTCTACGGCTTTACGCACCATCCCTACCCACAAATTCCTTTTCATCTCTCCAAGTAGGATTGTCTTTGCATGGTTTAGGTTCAGAAAACCATTGTTTATCGTTTTCCCAAACCATGTAATTCATGTTCGTTTTATATTGACAGTTGTATACGACTTTGGGAATTTTATACTGTGTAATATTATCTTCTCTCTCATAAATACTCCAGTACAGCCTCATTTGATCAGGGTAACTTTGATGAAGACCAAGAATTGAATGACAAATTTCGTCTCTCATTTCCACATCCTCATCTGAACTAAAATCAATCGAGTCGGTTCGTTGATGAACTAATCTGTCGTTGTCGGTAAATGTTATCAAATTTGAGATAGCTTTCAACCAATAGCCAACGGACTGACTTTCGAAAATGTGGCACATCAAACGACCTTTCCTTATTAAAAATGATTCAACAATGTCAGAAGACAGAAGAAGAAAAGACTCATCCAAAAATGCCGCATCTGAAAGTTGAAGAAACTCTATGTTGATAACAGCAAGAGAAATTAGACAATTGTACATTTCACACATACATTTACACATAAATATTTTCACATCTGCAAATGTACAAACCGATTGGCTAACAATCGTACATCGGTACAGTATAAACACTACACAAAAAGTCCCCCCACTAGTTTTACAGGACTGTAGTGGATCTAGAATTCGTCAAAATAAATTATAGCTTCTCAATTTTAAATTTTAAATTTCTTCAGAACGACACTATTGGCTTTGAATTTCTAAAGAATATAAGTCTACGGATGGATTTGCCTTTGAACTACATCGATATGACGTTGATAAAATGAATCCTGTCGAGAAACTAGCGCGAATGTTTCTCTGTCTGAAATTTGGCATGAATCCCTTGAAACGGAGCCATAAAAGTAGTAATTGAATCTGCTCAGGATTCTGAGTCTGAGCATGTTGAGTTAGGTAAGGTTAAAACACTTGTTGTGGAGTTTCTTCCATTTTCTGTATCCCTATCCGTTCTCAACATGATTGGATAGAATTGAAGAATTCTCAACGCAATTACAAAATAGTTTCCCTACAATACGTGCATCGTCACTTAACGGAACGATTTCAAGCTACATTATTCTTTTGATAAATCCATTTAAGCGGCCATGCATGGCGGAAGAACCTGTTTAGCTTTAACTTGTCGTATCCGTCAGCATGCCAGCAATGGTTTGCCTCCAGATTCACATACTTTCGTCAGAAAACAAAGTTTGCTTGTTTCAATTTTGCTAATTCTGAATCCACTTCTCTAAGAATGTTTTGAACTGCTAAACAAGGAACTTGTTTGTACTCCATGTTTTTTCTGCTCTCTCCTAAACATAGCTCGTCAACCGAGGTTCTATCACTTCCATCAAGTTCTTCTAACATGCATTGTGGTGTATGATCTTCATCAACAGTATTTCCTCTTTGTTTTAAGCCAACTTCATTCAGCTAATTCAAAAGTGTTGTTCTGGAGATTTTTATTTTATGATGTGTGTTGTACTTTTTTGAAAAACGTATCTGATTTTTTCCATCTTTTTGACAACAGTGAAGTTAACAAACGAACTTTTGATTATTTGGACCTTGCTTGTATCTTTTCTAAGACGTTTGAGTCTATTGGTTTTGTATGTGTGTATTGGGTTTTGTATGCGTGTATTTAATTTTGTAAGCGTGTATTCGGTTTTGTATGCGTGTATTTAATTTTGTATGCGTGTAGTATGATTTTGCATGTGCGTGTCAATTTATATTCGTGTAATTGTATGCATGTATTTTATTTTGTGATTTTTGTGGGTGGCCGCTAACCACTATTTTAGAGTCGAAAAGTGTCCGCACCTGCATCATTGCGAGCAGCATAAATTATCATATTCGGCAATTATCCAAATGAGCGAACAGTCGACGATGGCACAGCACATCGCAAAACTTCCTTGAGACAAATCGTTATCAAGATTTATAGCGATACTGCTCTTTTCATATGAGCGCGCCAAATTTTCCGATGAGTTTTTATAGTATCAAAGGGAATTTTGTCATTAAGTTGTTAAGCTTGCTCATTTCTTTACTTTCTAATCGAAAGTTTACGGTGAAATTGTAATGTGCGTAAGGTCAATATGACAGTGAATAAGAGCGCATATATAGTACGTATGTAATACATAAGATATATGTAAACTGTGAAGGGTCTGTTTGCGTACAAAGATGAAGCAGAATTTATACACAATTAGCAAAGAATCGTCGGTGACATAATCCTGTGAAAATGTTGTTAATTTGAGAAATATCTAGAAACATTTCGACTCAAAAATTGACTTGTATTATATTGCCTGTTCCTTGTTGTGCGAAATACAAGTATTATTTGTGCGGTTTACAATTTTACATCTAGTGAAATATGCTACGTGTCAAACTATAAAGTCCATAAACAGGAAATACAAAATACTTTCGATCACTTGCAATCATTGAGCAAAGCGTTTACTATCAAACATGGTTCGCAATAAGCACAAAATCTTTGGAAAAATATAGACACTTCAAAGCATGATTAGAGAAAAGTAACAATAAAAAACACGACCCATGTCGTCTTTACGGTATTTGTTCGAACAAGCACCGCTCCGAGCTAGCGTTGCCCTCCATTAAACGCCGCACGCGTGGGGAGAAAAATTAGCACACTGCTGTACTTGTTCGAACAAATACAGTATTCATCGTTACGGGGAAAAACGTTCTCTGAACGACATCTAAGACACGTCAGAAAACGTTTTTAAAACACAATCATAGAAAAAATGGTTTTCAGTGAAAAGAAGACTTTAAAGGTCGCAAGAAATCTAAATGACGTGACTTTCCTTGGTGCGATTCTTGTGAGCACATGCATTTATGAGGCTTAGGTGCAATCTAAGCTAAAACGTTCAAAAAATGCCGAAATGGTTAAACGCTTACTTAGTCATATAACTAAAACCAATATTTAAATATTGAACAAGTTTAGTATAAATGATATTAAATATAAAATTTTATTTCAATTATGTTCATTTACCAGCTTCATTTAGCCCTATTTACTTGAAAGACTCTCACGTGTACGCATTGCGTACCTACTCTTGTACGTGTATTTGATTTTGTAATTTATATGCGTGTATTTGACTTTATATAACCATATAACCATATAATAGAGATTGAAGCCGTTTGAATACGCCCAGCAATAAAACATTCAAACCGCTTCATACCTTTTTCTTTGCAGTGTAGCCATCCCCACTGAAAGCTGTGTTTCGGTCTTTTATTACTCGCCAATTCCAACATCAACTTATTCAAACAAATAAAATAGTCATCATCAAGTCGTAAATAATATTTGAAATCGTAGTTATCAGTTGCCCACTGAAGTATCCACAGTAGCTGTACCGAAAATGTAAACCCACCAGGAGTATCTGTACGAACAAGATCTCCATGTAACTGACTTTCATGATCAAGTTTCTTTTTTCTTTTACCCCAAATCAAATTGCCACGTGGATCTTTACTATCAGTGAAATACTTACAAACAACATCAAATCGTTTGTTGCATTCTTTGATCCATGTATCTCGTCCTGCTGCTCTTCGTTTATAGTGAGACGGGGCGCTAATGATACCGATGAACAAGAGCAAATTTGGCTTGGACATTGTCGGCTCCTGGGTAAGAATGTTGATGTCTTCATCGGCCTCGTACTTGAATTGAATGTAGACTGAGCTGCATACCCAAAAAATTAACATGACTAAAAGGATTCGGCGTTTGGAGAACATTTTTCATCTCTCGTTGACATAGCATGCTTACCTATATTATAGGAAACATACACCGATACGTGTTTTGAGGAGAAAATCTAACGCGGAAGTTGGCTCATTTGCATGTGCTTGTCGGTTTTACTTTTTGTTTTAGCAATTTAAATACATTACAAATCTTTCCGTCCATTTCGTAGTGTTTTAGTTAGTGTCAGGAAAGATGTACACAAAAATGTGATTGTGTACAACAAAATTAATCGAGCCAACTACCGGCGTTACTTAATTTGGATTCGTTTGAAATATACAAATAGCTACAGGGTGTATAAAAAAAGTATTCTCTTACAAAAAATTTTGCAAAAACGCGGACTAAGCAAAAACTTTTGTTTATTCCAAGTACTTTAACATTCTGCTACAGGTGGTAGCTAATGAAATTTAAATTTTTCAAAATGCCTGATGTTTTACCAGTGAAATACCTGCAGTTCAAAACAAAAAAATAATTATTGTCAAAATAAACCTAGTCAAAATATGGACTGTGTTGTACAAGCCATACCTAAATTTAAAGCAATTTGGGCACGTGCATGCCAATGCGAGACCTTTGAAACGAGGAAATTTTCGCCTTTCTGCATTTAACAGTAAGTTTTATTACGACATTTTTACCTTTGGGAATTGGCTTGCTAATTTCATATTGTATAAAAGGCATAAACAAAAAATTTCATATATTAAAGATCTCGCGTTGGACAGCGCTTGCCCCAAATTGCTTAAACTTTTGATGGCTTGTACAACACATACCAAATTGTTTTTCCGATGCGTATTTTGCGTGTGCAAGGTCTGTTTTAAAGAATTTTCAACAATGGTCCTTTCACTGATGAAAAATCTTGCATTTTTGAAAAATTTAACTTCCAGCTGTAACAGGTGTTAAAGTACTTTTTCTAATTCCAACCTGCGTCTTGTTTTAGAGAGGGGCCAAACTTGGCCCCAAAACGTAGCTGAAACATCCCCAGTTAAGCGGACCAATTTAGCCCCATAGCGAGCTATTTTGCCCCTTTTGTGTGAAATTCAGCTCTAGACAGAATAGCCAATTTAGCCCCATTATTTCATCAAATCGGCAATGGCTAAAAAGCAGCCCCTTGCCCTGGAAAGAAATGAAATTATTGAAAGCTTACAATAAACAAGACTCGTATAATATTCGTAAGCACATAAGTGCTTAACATCTTCATTAAAATACTTTACATGCACATATTTTCATCTCACTCAAATTAAACTTCACAAAAAAGGATTGAAATAAAACATAATCTATATAGCAATGTGCATTCATGATTAGTTGAACACAATTGATAACACTCCAACTGAACTTTTCACAGAAGATGGACACTTCTCTGGGATGATTCCCAATAATGCCATGTCAAGAAAGCTATAGACATTCTTGCCCTCAATGTATTTTATATTGTACATATAGTATGTGGCCAACAAAGCAACCAGAGCATCGCCAACCTTTTTGGTTGTTACATGGCACAAAACTATTCCTTCTGCCACCACATATATAATGTCACTTTGATAAAGGTCATCCACTACCAAAATACAAGGTTGAATTTGCGTACTTATTTTTTCATCAAGGAAAGCGCCATTCTACGATAAAAAGACAGCAGAAAATTTAGAAAATTAGCTTGAGACTGCACAATAAAATCTTAAGTGTCTACTTTCATTAGGGTTCACAAGTTACTTTTTGTTATGTGAGAAACAAAAATGAAGTAGTATGGTAATATTCATTTTATAGTAAAGATATAATGCCAGTTTTACCTTAACAACTTTGATAAAAGCTTCTTTAACATGAGGCGTCCTCCTACTGTTTGGCTGATTGAAGACAATTTGAGCGATTTTGATAGCTACTCTACCAGCACATTCGCCTAAAAAATAGCACACACTGCTACACAAATTTTGATCGAGAAACAACTGCTGATCCTTCTTAGTTTATTTTCTTCAAGAGAATTTCTGATGTGTATGAAGTTGATTATCAGCTGAAATAACTTCTTCAAGGATACCACTGTCAATAGCATTATGCATTTTGTTCAAGTCTTCTGAATGTTTACCACCATTTTTTCTCAGCATATGCCAACAGCCTGTGACGCCAGACTTTGTTGAAGTTTTCCTTTACCTGTGTAGCTACGTCTTTATTCCCCATAACTTTTGCAGATTCAGCCTTGATCTGTAGTAATAAAATATACAGCAGTTACCTATAAGCTTTGCTAAACTTATGTACGTATTTTATGGGATAAAAATACTACTAGCTACTAACGTATAGCAGATTTTTTAAAGGAGGGAACATTTCAACAGCTTCCACTATTCTTTTGACGTCTTCCAAGACAAGTGATCTCCTTGAAGCATAGCATGCAGCCATCAACTCCTGAATTTTTTCATGATCCTTTTTAGCTGACTGCCACTCCTTTTTTTATTTTTGATACCACTGCTGTAAGATCTTCACTTTCAGTCCAACAGTGACTGTTCTTTTTCTTTGTTGTTTTGCCTTTAGTTTGCGAGACATTGGTAAAACAGGCGTGTTAGATAATCTTCTTTGCAATCGGTTATAAATTTTCATCTCAATAGATCCCTATAAAAGAAAGCTTTCATTTAATAGTAGTAAAAGTGAAGTAAATTTATTTTTTATCACTTACAAAATAGAGACGCAAGCAGCCCATTACAACAAAAGCGCATATAACAAGGTGATAATGTAAATTTGCATCACATAGTTTCGATTAGGGGGTGGGATGGGAAGATGTGTCCACTTCTCTTCAAAATACTAAAGCCTAGTTAACATATAGTTGTATATAATTGTAGTAATTCTATCGGCATTGAAGGTTCATATCAATTATAAGTGTATGAGAACGCGCGTAGTAATTGTTGTAAGTAATTTAATCGCAAAAAATCTGGAGTTCAGTCAAATCAAAAGCAATTGTGATTAGAGATAAATGGAGGATGCCACTCTAATTGGTAAAATCTACGAATGTAATAAATATGTAACAGAATTTAACAAAAAAAGTCTGACATCCTTTGGCAACAAATACGTACTCACAGAAATCACATCCACTCTAGACAAGTAGTAACCTAAACCACACCCATGCTATTCCCAAACACACACCCCCTACGGAAAAAATCGTGAATACACATCCCTAATTTAGATTGTTGTGTTAGTAAGTTAGTCGCCCAGTTATTGATTTTAGCAGGCATGATTATAAGAAATTGAGGTGTGACGTCATTAAATGTATTGGTCATGACTGTTAGCAAAAAGAACGTGTGGTTTCTTTAACCGAGTCGCTGCTTTGCCATTGTTTTACGCCGGTGTGTGCTATTATTTCGTTATTGATCCTTTCGAGAATCTTTTTACTGATGATGCCAATCTCGGATTTTGTTGGATTGATGAGTCGCGATGTCGGGTTGTTGTTGAAGTTTGGTTTGTGGTCTTTTAGTGTGATGAAGCAATCTTTCTCGGCTAGAGCGTCGATTCTGCTTTGGAGCTTGAGGTCTTTCGCTATTGATCTTTCTTCCTTAATGATTTCGGTTTTTGCGTCTAGTGGAGGCTTCTTGTAGTTTTTGGTTATGTTACTTAGGAGGAGCTGTTGGTATGTGTCTGGATTAATGCGGTAAATGTTAGTTGTTTTATCGGCTGCCACAAATAGCATATTGTCTTTCTTGATTTTGTTCATATCTTGGCGTAGATTGTTTTGGAAGGTGGAGGTTGAATTTTGCAAGTTAGTATTCTGAACAAGTGATAACATTCTTTCCTCGAAGTCGCGCTGTTCGTTAATTGGTGGTGGTGATTTTGTGGTCTTAAATCCGAATGTCTCTTTTTGCGTCGGTGCGATGTTTGGGTTGAGGAAATGGTATGCCTTCCATCTCATGCGTTGCAGGAAGTTTTGAGTTTTATCAATCAGGCATCTCAGGTATACGTTTGGCTGTGCTATTGAGATGTTCTTCGTCGAGTATCCAAGTATATATATATATATACTTGTGACTAGTATGTAATCGTATGTTACTCGTATGTACTCGTATGTCAGTCGTATGTACTTGTATGTACTTGTATGTCACTCGTATGTACTCGTGTGGTGTTTTAGTCACGATCCGAAAAGGGCGGTAGTTTTTACAAAATATACCAGTGAAATATGCGGAGTGTTTTTATATTGTTTTTTTTATATATTATTTTTAGGAAAATAACTATTTCCTTTATCTGCGTTATAAATATAGTTTTTTTCTTTTAGAATTGGTAATAAAAGAATTTCTTGATTGAGATCTCGTGAAACAGTGTATTTTTTTACATCATTAACCCTCGATCGCCATTTTTGTTGAGTAAACAACGTAGGTCTTGTACGCAAAACAAGCTGTTTTCGTCGGTGTCAATGAATAAAAGCGTTATATATATGAGAAATGTCCTAAAATATTTCAAAGTATTTAAAAATATTTCAAACATTTTAAAATATTTCCCTGTTATGTCTAACTTGGGAGAAATTTTCCACATCATATCAAAATTTTAGCAATGTCTTCTTCTAGGTTTTCATAAAAAGCGTTATACTAACATATAAATATTTACAACAACTACCTTGAAATTTTTCAATGACTTCATTATCCACTCCATTCTTTTTCAATAACGTGGACAATTCAGAGGTGGTTAAATCATTAAATGAAGGCATTGCAAGAAGTTCGGTGCAAATGTTACGACTAGACTACAAAAAAGACCAGCAAGTAAGTGAAATGATCAATGAACTCTACAACAACTGGAAGGCTAACTCATTATAAACAAACCTAGACACTTGTTTGAAGCCACTTAGAAGTTGATTTGCCACTTCGCGTGTATCGCGCGTGGACTGTTTTATTTGCGTGACGGATTGTTTTGCAAAAACTGCTAACTTGGAAATAGAATGCTAGCCTAAATGTTTTATTATTTTCAAAACCGTTAGCAAAATTTGGTTATTAATGTGTTAAGATGCTTTGTGGACGTTCCAAGACATGTTTTGTATACGTAACCCTGTATTATATAAAACATAAAAGGGAGAACTTGCTTCGAAATATGAATTTCTCATTTGTCGTCGAAAGACCAAAAATTTAAGACAAAACTGATAACAGGTAGTCTGCATCTTTGAATGCTGTGCAAAATACACACAATCCACTTAATATAACATGTTTCATAACAATTTTATTGCTTTCAAAGTTAGACTTGCTTTGTAAGAATTTCACATGCTCTTTTTGTAATGTGTGAAAGTGATAATTTGAAATTTTGAATTGTGGGTGATTGTTGGTTCTTGTCATTTACTTCTCCCACTTCTTAAGAACTGGTGGAAGATTTTACATGCATTCATATTTGTGTATTGAGCATTTTATCAGCAAGTTCATGCTTATAAATAAATAGCCAAGTGTACACTATGACAAGTATTGCTAATATAGCCTGCTCTACATAAATGCAAAAAAGCAACCCTCATCTTCAGTGGTTTGAACCAGGGTTTTAAAATGATTATAAAGCAAGCAAAGCTATATCATGTATCAAAATTTTATAGTATATCATATTGAATATAAAATTAGTTTTTTCTTATAATACAGATAATGATAAATGTATATGTAATATATTAAATTTTAGGATGTGTGTTTAAAATGTTGTAAATGATGTTTCTGTTGCAGATTACAGTAACTAACAATCATACAGACAATGCTAATTTTTACCCTCAAGACTAGAGGGGCTTCCAACTGTGCAACCTTTGTAAAATACCTAGCATTCATTGATATGTCTGGCGAATGGATGCCCAGCTTTATTCAATATTTTCACTTTCATATAGTTCCATGAGCAACATTTTCAACTGAGAACCAGAGAGTCGTATAATTTTACCTGCAGAAGGCTGTTAGAAGGCTGTTCACGTATTTCAATGTAGAACATTGTAAATATGACGTCATCAAGACAGACATCAAGAATTATTTGCTTGTTCGTAGTTAACGTTGACCGATCAAAACTGACATTGCTTACATAGTGAATAATAGGTAATATTTCTTATCGGATGAACAGATTCCTGTATTTCTTGCCATCATTACTTTGATGTACACAATGCACCCTTTAGCGAGTTGATCATGTATAATGAACACAAGTTGAATGCCTTTCTTAAACGTGTGGTTTTCCACGATTTATTTGCTAGGACGATGAAGAGAAAGAAGATTTAAACATTAAGCCAACGGATAATTTGATCATTATTGGAAAGGTTGAGGACGAATTTAGCAACCTAGAAATATATGGTACGTTTTGAAAACATTGCTCTTGAAAGCGAAACTGTCCAAATTTCAATAATAGACGATAATATTAATAAAAGCGACTTCGATGTTGCTCTGAACGGCGTGTTTGTCGTGGCGAATGACAATTACGTCATTCTTTAAGTACCTATATCACCTATCGGATTTTTATATGTTTGTAAATGATGATCGTCCAGGTTAATAAAGTCCTGAGAAGGACTGTTTTTGTTGTTGTTGACTGACGTTTCGACAACCTTAGCGGTAGTCATCTTCAGAGTCAAAATGACTCTGTAGGCATGTATATATTGAGTTAGTTTTCTAAGTGTATTAGAGTTCATTGGCATGACCAGCATGATCGCTAGCTACGTCACTGCTTTCCTTAAGAAATTATTTTGTTTTGTTTTTGAAAATTATAATCTAACGACAGCTAGTTTTCTTAATTCGAACCAAGTTCCCTCAAAGCAACGCTTTATTTCATAATCATCATCAGACGTGTTTTGTTGTGGCTTGAGACTCCAAGTTTTCAAACAAACAAATAACTACAATATCGTATATAAATAATTTTATTTATTTCATTAATTACATATTTACAATCTTACGTAAAAACTTTTATTATATTTGATTTACTCACTATTTACAAGAATATATATATATAATATTGTTCATCTATGAATTTTTAGTCGCTTGTTTCATTACTCTTGAAACAGCAAAAAAATAATCTTCTAAAAAATCCCCTTCTTTTCTTCAACTTTCTGCCATTTGGTGGTGTTGTCAGTGAAAGATTGTCATGAAGTGATTCAGTAACATTTTCGTTCAGATTTCCACTTCTGATGCTATGGTGACAATTACCATCTTTGGAATATATCTGATTAATTTTGATTTCTTGAGCAGAATCATCAACTGAGGTGGATTTTGAATGCTTATCATGAACATTAAATAGAAGATCACTTTTAATTAAGCATTCACCTTGGTCAACATCATCTAGAGTAAGATGGGCTTGAATAATCTCGTTATCTCCAACAGTACTTGGGTCTTTTGTGATTTCACTAACAATAGTAGTTGGTAAGTCTTTGCTGATTTCATTATCAACTTGAGTAGGTAAGTCTTTGGTGATTTCACCAACAACTTGAGTAGGTAAGTCTTCAGTAATTTCACCAACAACTTGAGTAGGTAAGTCTTCAGTGATTTCACCAACAATTTGAGCAGGTAAGTCTTTGGTGATTTCAACATCAACTTGAGTAGGTAAGTCTTTGGTTATTTCACCAGCAACTAGAGTAGGTAAGTCTTCAGTAATTTCACCAACAACTTGAGTGGATACGTCTTTCGTGATTTCACCAACAACTTGAGTAGGTAAGTCTTCAGTGATTTCACCATCAACTTGAGTGGATAGGTCTTCAGTGATTTCACAAACAACTTGAGTAGGTAAGTCTTTGTTGATTTCAACATCAACTTGAGTAGGTAAGTCTTTGGTGATTTCACCATCAACTTGAGTGGATAGGTCTTCAGTGATTTCACCATCAACTTGAGTAGAGAAGTCTTCAGTGATTTCACCATCAACTAGAGTAGGTAAGTCTTCAGTGATTTCACCATCAACTTGAGTAGGTAAGTCTTTGGTGATTTCACCATCAACTTGAGTAGGTAAGTCTTCAGTGATTTCACCAACAACTTGAGTAGGTAAGTCTTCGGTGATTTCACCATCAACTTGAGTAGGTAAGTCTTTGGTAATTTCACACACAACTTCAGTAGACAAATGTTCAGTGGTTTTACGACCAACTTCAGTAGGTAAGACTTCAGTGATTTCACCAACACGTAGAGTAGATACGTCTTTTTTGATTTCACCAACAACTTGAGTAAATAAGTCTTTGGTGATTTCAACATCAACTTGAGTAGGTAAGTCTTTGGTTATTTCACCAGCAACTAGAGTAGGTAAGTCTTCAGTAATTTCACCAACAACTTGAGTGGATACGTCTTTCGTGATTTCACCAACAACTTGAGTAGGTAAGTCTTCAGTGATTTCACCATCAACTTGAGTGGATAGGTCTTCAGTGATTTCACAAACAACTTGAGTAGGTAAGTCTTTGTTGATTTCAACATCAACTTGAGTAGGTAAGTCTTTGGTGATTTCACCATCAACTTGAGTGGATAGGTCTTCAGTGATTTCACCATCAACTTGAGTAGAGAAGTCTTCAGTGATTTCACCATCAACTAGAGTAGGTAAGTCTTCAGTGATTTCACCATCAACTTGAGTAGGTAAGTCTTTGGTGATTTCACCATCAACTTGAGTAGGTAAGTCTTCGGTGATTTCACCAACAACTTGAGTAGGTAAGTCTTCGGTGATTTCACCATCAACTTGAGTAGGTAAGTCTTTGGTAATTTCACACACAACTTCAGTAGACAAATGTTCAGTGGTTTTACGACCAACTTCAGTAGGTAAGACTTCAGTGATTTCACCAACACGTAGAGTAGATACGTCTTTTTTGATTTCACCAACAACTTGAGTAAATAAGTCTTTGGTGATTTTACCATCATCAACAGGATGCTGAGTTAGGAAAATATGCTTACCACCATCTACTGTTTGTGTTTGAATGTCTCCACCACCAACAGTAAGTTGATCTGGCTCATCATCATCATCATCACCAAGCACAACCGAGTTCTCAACAAAGTCCTTCAATGCAATATTGACCAACTCAACCTGCTTTAGCATTTCATCAACAACTTCGGCAACTATTTCATCATACACGATTGAAATGGCGTTTTCAGTGGCTTGTTGTTGAATGACAGCCGTGGTTTCTTCAATGGACTTGTTAACTGTTGTTGCTTCATTTTGTTCAACTTTAACTGAACTTTCGTCAACAGTTGTTCCAACGCCAAAGTCTTCACAGCATAATGCTAAATATTCAACTTCTAAAAGAAAATGAAATGAACAAAAGTGAGCAAATTCCCGTTTTCAAAAGCTTTTCATTGAGCGAAGGAAATCTTTAATTTTTATTGAAAAAGTTTTTCGCCATAAAGACGAACATTTTGATTGATATTTTTCGCCGTGTGAGCTAGCGAATCATCTTTGAATTGAAAATCTAAGATCATCCATGAATATTTTTTTCACACAATAATTCGCCGTCTTCTTCCACACGTTTTTAAAGATTTTGTTTTTTGTTTTGATTTGAAATAACTCTTTGAACATTCAAATCTGTCATTTAAAGTTTTGAATTCCAATTCTCGATAAATGTTTTATTGTAACCTAGCAACACTAAAAATTTGCATAATTTTACGCAAATTATGCATAATCCACATCAACTAATCTCGCCCAATCCCGCCTCACTTAATCTAATTCCATGGTCGCAATCTTGGGTCTCATGAAGTCGTTGCATAGCAACAAGCCAATTATAATTTTCCCAATCATGGTCGCGTGGCAACAAATTAATTAAAGGGTCCAAGTTTCTTAGCAACCCAAATAAACAAAAAAATTTTTTACTACTACGAAAAAAAAATTTCTCAAAAATCAAAAGATATTTTGGAGAGTACCTGCACTCTGGTCGTAAAATGATCTTTTGAGCAGTTCAATACGACGTTTTGCAACAGAGGCCCTTTTTTTTGCCATGTCCAAAATTTCTTCCATATTCTTCGCTGATCCGTAATGACCAGTGGCCACGAGTTGTTCAACAACTTTTAATGAAGTTTCTTCGTAATGAAGGATGTCGTTTAATTGAACATTATCCATTGCAATATATTTTAGTTCGCTAATGAAGTAATTTTCACTTTTTTCAGCAGTACGAATCTGTGCACAAAGCAAGTCAATCGCAAATGACGATGAATTGATGACATCACATAGCTTTATACCAGAGGGTGCGCAAAGGATTGTGGGCCATAAATGACACGCGAAAAAACCAGGAAACCTGCTTAAAAACCGGTTTTGATTGATGTCCCAATCCCCAATTTCCTGCAACATCCTACATTTTTTCTAAACCTTTTTGCAAAATGGAGAAAAAACTACCATTTTCTTATTTTTTCTTGTCCGAAGAACGAAGATTTATTAATGTATCACGTCTTTCAGGAAATTATAGTTTAATCCAACATCGAAACGCTGTCGCTCTCAAACAACGACGCGTCTTCTGTTTTTATGCAGAACTTGTTACTTGTTTTAAGAAATTTTAATGAAGGAATATCCATCGTAAAAATATCAATGGTTTCGAATATTTTCATGGTGTAATTTGATTAAGTGTCGGCTCAAAATCAGAAAAATTAGCTAAACATCTTTCCATAGTCAAAAGATGGTTATCACTTTAATACAGGCGAAACAAAATAGCTGAGCTTCGCGATCACAAATGGTTGAAAATAGATTTGTGTCAAAACTGAAAAAAGTGTGTTTCACAATCAAAATATCAACTATATAAATCGTGTTTTTTTTTGAGACAATTTCATTTCTTTGATAAAAACAATATATTTATGTTGATGAAAGTTACAACTTACTTTGATCGTGTCTCTTGCCTATAATCACAAGACTTCGAAGTGAACGAATTTTCAATAAGTTCTTTGATAAAAACTTTACATTTCTTTACACTTGTAAATCATACAGATGTTGCTTGACACTCATCTGGAAGGATTACTTACTAAAATAAAACAAATTGTACAGAATTTCGCGCAATGTTGGGTTGATTTCTTTATAATAATTTTATATTAAAAACAATAACAGTGGCTGTCTTGAATTGTGAATGTTATTGCTGAAAATTGACTTTCAATTGGGATCAGTCGCATCCTATCATCACGAAAACTGGTTAAATGTTCTTTCTATAAACTTGGTTCACCATTACTACACATATAATGGTTACAGTAACATTATTACCTCTACAACACATGAGTAGTTCAATACTACAGTTATTTCTACACATATAAAGGTTATAGAAACATTATTACCTCTACAACACATGAGTAGTTCAATACTACAGTTATTTCTACACATATAAAGGTTATAGAAACACTTATTACCTCTACAAAACATGAGGAGTTCAATACTACAGTTATTATTACACATATAAAGGTTATAGAAACACTTATTACCTCTACAAAACATGAGGAGTTCAATACTACAGTTATTTCTACACATATATAAGTTATTATTTAAAAATTAAAGACTTAATTCATCATATTTTGAAGCCCAACAAACCATATACCTTCCCTAACTAAAAATTGTAAGTCTTTTACGTTTAAATTGTTGAACAAGACAGAGTCGAAAATTTAATCAATAAATAAGAAATTTACTTTTCTTCAGTGGCGTAGCTAGCAAAAATGTTTGGTCATGCTCTCTTACAGCCTCGCAAGGTGCCACTGTGGTTGGCACCAAGCAAGAAAATTTTTAAAATTCAGACCGTCAACGACCCCAAAACAACAACATTTACCCAACCAGTTGATATTTAAGTAACACTTGAAATCTACGAAAAAAGTTTTTAAAAAACAATATTCAATATCTACCTTAACTAAAATTAGTACTACACAAAGTAATTCACTCTTGCTCTTTAAGATTACAAACAATTCTATATGTTGACAAACTATGTAACTTTTATGATGGGGAAGGCAAACTAACAATTAAATAAAAAATGAATAAAAGAAAGTTTATTGTCTGAACAGGAGTTAGATTATTAGGTAGTTTTTAGATAATGAAATAAATAAAAAAAAATGAATCTTTCTGACATTTATCATGCAGCATTAATGATATGAGCTTTATAACACCATCTTGTATCACCAGGATAAGAAAACTTAATTACTCATGAGGGAAGTAAGAAAAGCCTTTTCTTTGGAGTATTGTTTCGAAAAAATTGGAAAGCAAAAACATTAACAAAGAAAACATTCACAAGTAAAATTGAGGTTGCAGTTTGCCACAATACAAGACTAAGGTTATGGACAGCACAATGAACAACATGAGCAAACTCAAGATATGTAAAAAGAGTTTATTGGTTGTCTTGACAAGATAGTCAAATTTTAAAAGTGATGGTTAATTCACTTTTCCAACTGATAGCTGCAAATCTAAGCCGCTTTTCAATGATACTTCTCATCTTATTCATGTGAATAATACTTAATTGCTTTTTAGTAGAAACATCAATTGTTTCATTTAAGCTGAATAATCACAAAGAGCAATCATCTATCGTCTTCAAAATTTTATCTTCTCTGATCAAATCAAGTCAACAAATCAAATCATTTAACATGTCTGGTGACACATTAGCAGAACATGCATCCAATCAAGCCTATGATGCAAATACCTTCTCAAGACAAAATCAATTATAGCAAAGCTCTCAAGAAGCTCTTTAAAATTCTCTATTTATGCTATCATTTGATTAGTCATGACCAATACAATTATATCTGTTCGAATATAAAACAGCAGTTAATCTTCTGAGGATTGCTCTATTTTCCCTTACCTCTTTCATTTTATTTTAAAGTTGAATGTCTTTACGTTGTGATTGTAACATAAGAGAGTTAACACCAAGCCAGAGCCAAAGTCTTTGCACTTAGTGAAGTATCATTACAAGTTTAAAAGTTTACAAAGTTACAAGTTACCATGTACGAATTGGTCTCGAGTTTCTTAAATTTAATCGTCCATGACGTGAAGAGAAATCCTCGAATCCCATGAACAATAGGCCGGGCCAGCAAAATCACTGGCCTTACGATGCTATCTTGACTTCGCTCTTCCATAAAGACTATCTTTCTTTGTGTATCAACTCTCTCGAAAGCTTCGAACACACAATGTTGATTACAATTTCGGCATCGGCCTTTTGTTTACGATGATAGCCAGAGTAGCCAGATTATCAAGCAAAAAAAAGCTTTCACGCAAATAACCGATGATATCTGCTTCATCAGCATATGGATTAAAAAGATAGTACGTAGTGTTTTGTAATGTTTTGAATGTACACGAACTACAAACATGAATCTCGCACATAAAAAAAATTACTCGCGGGATTAAGTTTCGTCATACCTTTAAAAATCAGCATGACCCAGTGAACTCTACACAATGAACTCCATAACAACTGGAAGGCTAACTTGGACGCCATCTTTGAAGCCTGCATGAGCGACGCCATTGAGGGTATGAAGGCGAAATACATCACTTTGAAATTGCCGGATTTTTTGCAAAAAACAGTGGTCTTCGAGCCAGCTTAATGTCTAAAAACCTTAAACAATGTTTGGACTTTAATATAAAACAAGTTTGAGCAACATTTGTGCATGTTTAAGCTTCTTTTTAGAAGGATGAAAGGCGAACTTTGTTTTGGCACGTGAAAACATGCCTTATAACTTGAATACAAAACTGACACCCCTCGTTTTTTCTCATTAGAAAGATGTAAAAACACTTGTCTATCTTTATAATATTGTTTGAATTTTTGAAAATGAAGCTGTCAGGGCAAAAAACGCTGTTTTTCGGTAATTTTCGTGTTTCCGAGCAAAATTAGCTCGCCCCAGTCCTTTTTGAAAGTTCAGAGCGTATACAATAAGAAAAACACTTTGCAAAATATTTCAAAAAGTTAGCAAAAAAATATTTTGAGTTCGTTTTAAAAAAACTGTTATGCCATATTATAGTGTTATTATTAATTGCACCATTAAAGAGTCAAAAGGGTCAATACCCACAAAAAAAGACAAAAACACAATTGACACTCCATATTTATAACTTTTGAAACACTTAAGTAAAAATTGTACTGTAATACAAGTATGAAAAAGATTATTAGCCTAATATTATAGAATCATCATATATTTTCACAAATATGACCAAACATTTAAACACACATACTAAAATTTAATATATTACATTTACATTTATCATCATCTGTATTACAAGAAAAAACTAATTTTATATTCAATATGATATACTATAAAATTTTGATACATTGATACATGATATAGCTTTGATTGCTTTATAATCATTTTAAAACCCTAGTTCAAACCACTGAAGATGAGGGTTGCTTTTTGGCATTTATGTAGAGCAGGTTATATTAGCAATACTTGTCATGTTGTACACTTGGCTATTTATTTATAAGCATGAACTTGCTGATAAAATGCTCAATACAGAAATATGAATGCAAGTCAAATCTTCCACCAGTTCTTAAGAAGTGGGAGAAGTAAATGACAAGAACCAACAATCACCCACAATTCAAAATTTCAAATTATCACTTTCACACATTACAAAAAGAGCATGTGAAATTCTTACAAAGCAAGTCTAACTTTGAAAGCAATAAAATTGTTATGAAACATGTTATGTTAAGTGGATTGGGTGTATTTTGCACAGCATTCAAAGATACAGACTACCTGTTATTAGTTTTATCTTAAATTTTTGGTCTTTCGACGACAAATGAGAAATTCATATTTCGAAGCAAGTTCTCCCTTTTATGTTTTATATAATACAGCGTTACGTATACAAAACATGTCTTGGAACGTTCACAATGCATCTTAACACATTAATAACCAAATTTTGCAAACGGTTTTGAAAAAAATAAAGCATTTAGGCTAGCATTCTATTTCCAAGTTAGCAGTTTTTGCAAAACAATTCGTCACGCAAATGAAACAGTCCACGCGAGATACACGCGAAGCGGCAAATCAGCTTCTATGTGGCTTCAAACAAGTCTAGGTTTGTTTTTAATGAGTTAGCCTTCCAGTTGTTGTAGAGTTCATTGCGTCGTTTTCGCGCCTAAAATTTCAAAATACCAACAAAACCAGACACGAGACAGATATGGTCAAAAGCCATCAAAACTCTTTTAAAAAGAATCGAAAATGCACTGTGATTGATTCAATTTGATTCAATTATTTTATTTACAAATAAAAGTACAAATGATAAAAATAAAATAAGTAATACTATAATATTTTACTGATGCAATAATTTGAAATACTGTGATGAGCAGCATATTTCTAGTGAAAATGCTGGATTGCTGGAGGGCTTGGTTTTTCTGACTGAGCTACATCGCCAAAACCTTGGTTATAGTGCAATAAGTACAGCACGCTCAGCACTATCATCTATCTTAGTGCTGAATAATGACCTCACGTTTGGGGAGCACCATTTGGTATTACGTTTTCTTAAACGTATCTTTGAGTTGAAACCGTCATTACCACGTTACACGCATGTTTGGAATGTGGGCGTAAAGTTTAGATATTTTCAATCCACCGATTACCCTCACGTCTTGAGTCTCGAAGATCTGACTAAAAAACTAACATTTTACTTGCTTTAATAAGAGCACAAAGGTGCCAAACCCTAGCAAAATTAGACATTTCTCATTTGCAAGACATGCCTCATAAAATAGTTTTCCATATCCGTGACAAGCTAAAAACAATTAGACCAGGTAAATATATGACACCTACAAAAATTCTGTCATACCCGGAAGATGAAAAATTGTGTCCAGTTGCACACATTAGAGAGTACATTAACAAAACCAAAGATCTACGCCACCACCATCAGTTTCTTGTAAGCTATCATAAACCACATGACGCCGTCACCAATGCCACGACTAGTCGTTAGGTCAAGACTACTCTAGCTAATGCAGGAATTGACACTAGAACATTTTCAGCTCATAGTAGCGTGCTGCATCTACCTCTTCAGGTTTATGGTCAGGTATACCCCTAAAAGATGTACTACGTGTGAGGGGTGGTCCAATGCCACGACGTTTGCCCGACATTATAACAAACCAATCGATGTAAACTTTAGCCACGCATTATTAAGTCAATATGTAAATAAATAATCTCTGTCCCCGTTCTTCACTAAGGTTTTTCAAAAATATATTCAACATTACCGTGACGACTAGTGTTACGACAAGAGAGTACGGCATGGCTAATCAATCACTGGTGCTTACAGCTTTGAAATCTTATGTTAATCCGTAGTGACGTAGACTAATGACAGAACATAATTTAAAAATTAAACGAGACTTAACTTTAAGTCGAAGTTTGATTGTACTTCTTTCTTGTCATCAGTCAGGAACGAAGGATTAACATGCCCACCCTGGGAGGAATTAACCTGCCCGTTCTCCTTCGTTCCATGCGCGCGTGCTTCTCATGTTACTCCTTCGTTCCTGACTGATGACAAGAAAGAATTAAAATCAAACTTCGACTTAAAGGTAAGTCTCGTTTAATTTTTAAACTATGTTCTGTTTGATTGGAATGTCACAGGTACCGGAATTTTTCACAAGAATGACATGATTACGATGCCGAGTGGTAGAATTTTTTATTGCTTGAAAATGAAAAAAAAACAATACTTGTAGAATATTTCAAGTGCGCAAGGAAGAAGATGTGATATTCTGATGCTTGTCATAATTACCATATTACACCACATCACTGAACTTGTATGAGATCGTGCACTGTACACTCATAGACAGAAACTTGTAGACAAAAAAATGTACATATAGCAATAACTAGGTCTGAGGCTCATAGAAATACTTCAGCTCTGTGAGTATATAAAAACATTTGAATGGAATTAATAATCAATCTACAAAACGCTATAACACCAAGAATGTACGAATACACTCAAGTTTAACTGAGAAGTTAAAAAATTGAAACTATTTATGTTGTGATCAATGTTTCAATTTCGCTTTCGACTGACGTGGGACAAATTTTGATGCTCCCCATCGGCGAAAATGACTTTTAGTTTGTGCCACCTCCCTCCCCCCACTCAAAAAATCCTAGCGACCCCACTGTTAGTTAATCTTTTGATGTGAATAAAACTAAATTTGTCAAATTTTGCTCCAAATAAACCAACCCTACTAATATTTATTTCTATCATGCATAATTATTTGATCATACGGTCCCCGCAAGTATTTTTCATTTCCTGAAAGATATTCGCCATACTGACTTGGATCTCGAAATGCTGGTAGATCCCAATTTTTAGAAAGAAGTGATAAAACAGATTGATCATGTCGATGATCTCTAAAGGATTTTGGATTATCTTTACCCATAACATTTGGATCATCAGAAACAATACGTCTGTCTGTATGATAGGCTAGCCACTCCATAGCAAATTGTATAGCATTGCAACTTTTTCGCAACAAAATAAATGATGCATGACGTTGCCAGGAATCCTCTGCTTCTGGTATGCTCGTGTTCATCAGTACAAAAGTGTCTTGTTTAGTGAACATATGTTCAACAAGAGTAAGACTAAACACAATGATACCCTCGTCAGAATCCTCACATAGTTTTAATAAAGGTTCAGCAGATCGAATGAAATACGACCCAGCATCTTGGTACATAACTATATCTCCTTGCTTCATATGCAATGTCAACATCTTAAGTAGTAGATAAGGTTTCCATATCCAATACCCAGCCCCTTGGTGAGCACTGATTATATCGTGATGTGTTTTCTGAAAGCCATTTGATATTGCATCTAAGTCAAAAGAACTTACATAGTCAAATCCTCCAACTGTTTTTGCTTTCAAAGTTGCTCGACTTCTTGAAAAGTTGCAACAACCATGACCATATATGAACATAAAACTATGTTGGCTTATTTTCTTCGAAGTTACATTGTACTTGTTTCGTACTTTTACGATCTCTGAAGGTTGTTCTGTAAGGTTGTCCCCATATATTACATTCCTTTTAGTGGCTCTTGTTCTAAATTTCCATCGCACTGCCTCACTTTCAAAGGGAAACGGCATTCTCACACCTTCCAACATCTGTTTTGCAATTTTTATTAAATCTTTGCATTGTAACGATTCGCTCCCTACTATTGGCAACATATTCATTTCTTCTTTTGCGTTCCGTGGTTCAGGCAACATATTTGTGTATGAAAATTTATACATTATTTTCGCGCGATAAACCATTATATAAACAAGCATAAACCAAAAGAAGAAAAATAATGTAGCTTTGCACTTTGTGTAGCCATGAGAATATTGCCGCATACTTTTGAAGTAGTGTCCATGGCAAACA